GACCCCCGATGTTCCTCCATCTTACGTCCCGGATCTACCCACCATTCCACAGCACCTGTGTGCAGACACACAGCCGGGAGGGAGGGCCAATGAGAACAGAGGGAGAGAGAAAGGAGAGGAGAAGCAAGGGGAGGCAAAGGGAAGAGAGGAAAGAAAAAGGGAAAAGAAAAAGCAAAGGTAAGAAGAAAAGAGAAGAAAAATCAAAAGGAAGGGAAGTGAGATAAAATGCAGTAAAACAAAATGAAATAAAAACTTTGGTTTTTTTTTAATAACAGAAGGAAATTGATCAGAGAGTAGAAAGTATTTACAAAGTATCTCTTGAACATCTACAAACACAACAGATAAAAAAGGTAAAAAAATGTCACATCGCTGGATTATCGGAATTCTTTGGGAGAATCTCACACAAAAATAGGAAAAATATGAAGCAGCCATTTGTTTTTGTCTGAAAACTCCAGTACAGACCTTGGCCTTCCTCCACCCACTCCTCCCACGGAAGTCCAGCACCAACCTCACCTCCATGAGCCTTACGAGATAAGATGCCCCAGTGAGGGCTGGGAAGGTGGCTCCGTGGTAGAGTGCTTGCCTCACATGCATGAGGCTCTGGGTTCGATTCCTCAGCACCACATAAACAGAAAATGCTGGAAGTGGTACTGTGGCTCACGTGGTAGAACTCTAGCCTTGAGCTGAAGAGCTGAGGGACAGCGCCCAGGCCAGAGTTCAAGCCCCATGACCAATAACAACAAAAAAGACATCCCAATGGCTTCACCATTTAAGTGTATGAAAAGATAAATTCCACAAGATGAGTACAAAAAAGTACTGCGGGGCCTCCCAAGAGAAAGAACCCTTCCACATTAAGGAAATAAAAACCTTCTTGAGGAAGAAATACATTGAAAAGCCCCAAAGAACTTAAAAACGTAAGTATATTGCGAAAACAGCAACGATTTAACAAGCTACAGGTTCCTCTGAGAGCCATTTTGTAGTTACTGGAAGAAAGAAGAGAGGAGACCTGTGGCATCTTAGACCTTAGCAAATGAAGAAGGTGAAAATGAACGGCCTCTGCTTTAATCGAGGTTCACTGGACTCAGGAACACTGTCTCCAGCATGAGTAACAGCAAGCGTGGGCATGGGGGGAGAGATGGCCAACCACAACCACCTGCATCGTTCTTGTGATTTGTATCAGCTCTAGGCACCTCGACTGATCTACTTCTTCCACACACGAACCTTCATTTCCCCTCACGGTTACTGACCCCCCAAGATCTAGTGTGGCTGAGAACCCCCTCACGCGACGCAGTGTCTCGGGACACACCTCCTCAACCTCTTCCTGGCCCAGCGCTCTCAAGAGCAGTGCTGGAGAGAGCCTTGGTCCAGAGACCCTTTCTTTCATAGGAGATCTTTCTAGAAAGCCACCGGGCCACCACAGCTCTGTGGTCAGACTTGAAGTCAGGCAAATCCAAGCCCCCCAAATTCGCTTCTCTTATTTCAAGGTAATTTTGTTTGTGTCACAGAAGTTCCTAACTGTTCAAAACATAGTAATCCTGAAAAGTTTTTAAACATCCAGAGGTGTTTTATTGGAATTACCTGGAGTCTAAATATTCATTTGGAGGTGCTCACATTTTAATACTGTTGAGAACTCCCGCAATGATCCTCTTCATGTTTCTTCGGACGTGGATTTATTAAACTCTGGTATCAGGCACCCTGCACCCATCTTCCTTCCCACCCATCTTAGAAAACCTAAGGAAGCCGCTTTGATGTGTCTGCCTCCTGTGGTTTGCCAATCAAATCCCGCCCCCCCACCTACCAGAGGCAGAGCATACGGGATCCCTTTGCTCCTGCAATGCCCCTGGGAGTCATCGGTCACCTCAGATCACAGTCTGACCCAGACCCTCCCTTCCAAACCAGTCACTCCCCAGTCCATACCCGGGCGCCTCCCCACCCACCTCCCCCCCCCAACCCCGGGCCTTTTCCCAGGCCCCCAGGAGTCCCTCCTTGTGCACTGCTTCCTCCAAAAATACCTTTTCCCTGCGTATCTTGTGTCTCCGCTCTCGGTGGCATAAACACCGCCAGGAGGGCAGCAGGGCGAGTCCCCGCGCCGTAAGACAAGTGCGCTTGAGTCCTGCACTACCTCACAGCTGTCCACAGACATTCCCGGTACGTCCACATCCTGATGGCTCCAAGAGCCTCTCGCAGGGATTTATACACACACACGCGCACACGCACACACGCAGCACGCACATGCACGCGCGCGCGCACACACACACACACACAAACACACACGCCGCGGAGCTGCCTGGGTTCCAGTGCCCCACACGGGAGCCACATGAGGTTCACCAAATCCCCTTCGCGCGTCTCTGCAGACTCCTCTCTGCAAGGCGTGCCCCGCGCCCTCCGCCACCTGCCTGACGCTGGGGATCCTCTTGTGAGCCCTGCCTGCCTCAGCCTGGCCTGGCCTTGCACCCAGCCCTTCATGGCAGACGCTCTTCCCATGTGTGTCCTGGCCTCCCTCGCAGCCCCGGAGCAGGGTTAGAACTCAGCAGAGGCGCGCCACGGTATTTCGGAGGAAGTAAAGCCATGGAGTCTCCTGCGCCCCCCCCCATCCCCCAAAATAATCTCAAAATTAGACTTGGAGATAATGAAAAACTAAATGAAATCGCAGCCATGAGCAGATTCACTCAAAGCAGCACGTCGTCCAGAGGAACGCGGTGCCCCGTGCCCCAGCCTGACCATCAATGACACGGACCACGGCTGACCCTAGACAGTCCCCCTGCACAGCCGGGCTGGCCTGCGCTGCCCGACTCCTGTCACACAGCTACTGATAGCACTCCCACGTCCCAGGGGAGAAGACAGCTCAGATACTTCCCTGCTGTGCCAGCCTGCCTCCCCTGCCTCCCCTCCCCTACCTCCCCTCCCCTACCTCCCCTCCCCTACCTCCCCTCCCCTCCCCTCCCCTTCCCTCTCCTGCCTCTCCTGCCTCCCCTGCCTCCCCTCCCCTTCCTCTCCTGCCTCTCCTGCCTCCCCTGCCTCCCCTCCCCTTCCTCCCCTCCCTCTCCTGCCTCTCCTGCCTCCCCTCCCCTTCCTCTCCTGCCTCTCCTGCCTCCCCTCCCCTCCCCTCCCCTCCCCTCCCCTTCCTCTCCTGCCTCTCCTGCCTCCCCTCCCCTTCCTCTCCTGCCTCTCCTGCCTCCCCTCCCCTTCCTCCCCTGCCTCTCCTGCCTCCCCTGCCTCCCCTCCCCTGCCTCTCCTGCCTCTCCTGCCTCCCCTGCCTTCCCTCCCCTTCCTCTCCTGCCTCTCCTGCCTCCCCTCCCCTCCCCTCCCCTTCCTCTCCTGCCTCTCCTGCCTCCCCTCCCCTTCCTCTCCTGCCTCTCCTGCCTCCCCTGCCTCCCCTCCCCTTCCTCCCCTCCCTCTCCTGCCTCCCCTGCCTCCCCTCCCCTTCCTCTCCTGCCTCCCCTGCCTCCCCTCCCCTCCCCTCCCCTGCCTCCCCTCCCCTGCCTCCCCTCCCCTGCCTCCCCTCCCCTCCCCTGCCTCCCCTGCCTCCCCTCCCCTGCCTCCCCTGCCTCCCCTCCCCTGCCTTCCCTGCCTCCCCTCCCCTGCCTCCCCTCTCCTTCCTCTCCTGCCTCTCCTGCCTCCCCTGCCTCTCCTGTCCTTGCCCAGCACTTTCTCACAAAAGTGCCCCAGGACTAGGCTCTTAGCCATCCCGACAGAATCTGAGACCCAGAGAGGTTTGAGGCCTACTAAGGGGTCCTCAGATTTCACACCTGACTCCGGAGAAAGAGGGCAAGAGGCACAGAGGGAAGCAGAGGCTGCTGTTCCAGAAATGAACTCATGTCAGCGGTGAATGGAAAGAAGAGACAGCCAGCCTGGGCTACGGACCAGAGGCTGAGAAGGCTGAGGGAGTGAGATATCCCCCGACACACACACACACACACACACACACACACACACACGCAGGCACGCACGCATGCATGCACACACACCTGTCCTGGGATAGGAAGGCAACAGGGAAGAGTGTAGAAAGGGCAGGGTAAAAGAAAACATGTGTTATCACATGTACCAGCACCAGCCGAACCATCATGCAAACACACGGATGACAAATCTGAGCAATATAGCTTCGCACTGGGACATTTGGACTGAAACCGTGCACACACGGGAGACGCTGGGAGAGAAGACAGCACATCATCGACACTTAATAAATGTTTGTTCCAAACCAGAAAGACAACGGGAGGAAAATCTAAGGATTGCTTCTGAGAGGGGGGGAGAGGGGCCGTAAGGGAGTAGGTGCTCAATAAGTACTATTTTTTTGTCCGTGTACTCAGATGCCGGGGAGTTAGAAAAGATTCTCTGATGCGTTTCTCTGGGCTCTTAGCCTCTAATTTCAATTCCCCGCAATTCCTCCAGGAGGCTGGGAAGTCCCTCACTGAAGACTTGGGATCACAGTCTTGGAAGAGCCACTTACAGGCAATGGTGTGAATGCTTGCTAAACAGAGAAACAGGCAGAGAAGCCATACCCCACGGCCTGAGGCCCTCCTCCATTCCCACTCCCACCAAATTCCCTACAAGGCTGACACATCACTCTGCGCCCCCAAAGAACAGAGATGACCCAGATGGACCCACGGTGACATCATCGTCCCTCAAGCCAAGGACAGATCCATGATGTAAAGGCCCTGGTGCAATTGAAGGCCACTTATTTTATAAAGAAATAAAGCACAGACAGCTCCTTTCAAGCACGCAACCAGAAGTCAGGACAAAATGCCCAGGAGATAACTATCCAGAATTTCTTTTCAAGAGCCCAGGCAGCCCTCATTTATTTTTTGAGAAAATATATGATTAACCATAGTTGACGAGGAATTCAGATGCTGTACACTGAGACCCAGCTCCTCAAAGTTGGAGAGCATTTAATATTATATATGGCTGCCATTTGGACTAAATTGTTTTTTTAATGTACACAATATTACAAATTTAATTTGAGCTGTTTGAATCAGTCTGTAAAAAAAGATTTGATTATATACCTGAGTGCTCTGGACGCCGCTTTTCCGCATCGCAGTAACCTTGGCAGTAATTGGCTGATTAGACGTCTCACACTCCATCTCTGCCTCAGTTTCCATGGTAATGTTACAGGAGCTATTATAGATGAGAATTTCATCTCTTTCCACTTTAGGGCTTAAACGAGAGGGGAGGTTACATGGGGTGTCATCAATCTTAATGAAATGCAATTATTTTTACTCTTATTAATCACGGCAAGCCATTAGCTTGTGGCAACTACAGGCCACCATTTGTCAAATTTTGCAAATTTCTGTAATTTTGTTTCCATTCTTTTATTGTTTATTTGTTTTTTTTGTCCGTTCCCCCCACCCTTATCTGCTCACCCTGCAATGAAAATGCACATGGGAAATATCTTTCACGGGGGCGGGGGGGGGGGGGGGGGGGACCGTGCACACGGGGCTCATCTGCTCCAAACCTATTCAGAACATTACCAAAAGCTCCTTAGAACTCAACTAAACAAGCATGACTCCGGCCATGCTTATAGCTCCAAAACACGGAAACAAATGGTAGGAAGGCTTTCAGATTTTGATGCTTTTTTCTTCTCTCCCCACACACCAGCCTTTTCTTCTTCTTCTTCTTGATCTTACCCACACTTAGTGCTGAGGGAAGCGAATTACCTAAATCCAACTCTGCCATCGACCCACCCCTCCACCCCCTACCCCACCCCACCCCCACCCCCGCCCCGGGCAGATGGAGAAACTGAAAAATCCACATAACTGGCTAACTGGCCTCTAATTCCAACCATGAAAAAATGAGCTCATTTAGCCTCCCAATTCCCTCCCTCCCCGGCTGCTGGCAATGAGGCTCTGCTGCTAGCAGTGGAACATTAACTTAGTGGATTAATTAAACTTACTTAACAGCCCAGACTAAGGGGAGTCCATATATGTCCCACTTACACTAGCAGCCCCTTGCTGAAAAGGGAGGAGCAGGAAGGCACCGAGAACGAGCAACAGCAGCACGGACCTGCAGAGTCTGAAACTACGCAATCAGAGGAGGGAGAACTTAAAGGCCACACAGGACCTCCCCCAACGGGCTACTTTTATTTATTTATTTTTCTGGTCAGTCATGGGGCTTGAACTCTGGGCCTGGGAGCTGGCCCTGTGCTCTTGAGCTTAAGGCGAGCGCTCTACCACTTGAGCCACAGCGCCACTTCAGGTTTCTGGTGGTATATTAGAGATAAGAGTCACAGACTTTCCTGTCCAGGCTGGCTTTGGACAGTGATCCTCAGATCTCAGCCTCCTCAGTAGTTTGGATTACAGGAGTGAGCCACTTGTGCCCAGCTAACAAGCTTACTATTTATCCCAAGGTAGTCCCGGCTGAAGGCAATTCTTCCTAATCAAAGATGATCAGAAAGAATAATGCAGGATATTTTAGATACTTTTCAATGATTTCATACACAGAATCTCATTTCAGCCTGTAAAGGCCAGCAGAAATAGGTTAGAACAAAAAAAGAAAAAAAAAAAGCTAGGCTAAACAGACCAAGGGAGGCGCAGAGTTTAGACACAAAACTCAGAATCAGAACTCAGGCGCTCTGCTTGCTAGAGCAGCTGCTGGGGTTTTCAAATGCTGATTGGCTATCGGCACAATAACTGCAGATGACACCATCCTGGGTGTGGGAATAAATCCATGAAGGTGGCAGACCCCAGAGAGGGTGTGGGAAAGGGTGAAGGGTCATCCAGCGAGAAGCCATTCATCACGTGGAAATGTAGCATCTTTCTTTTCAAGTCAGTGTTGAAATACTTCCCCCCCGCAATCTGCTAGGGTAATGACGTGCTAACACCTGAACGCTGCACTTCACCTTCACTTCCGCCCTGCCTTTCTGCTTCCGCGTCCGGGGGAGACACCTCTTCCGTGCCCGCTGCCCCTTCCTCTCCTGGGGGTTATCCATGTGTTCGCCTGGCTCCATCTAGTCCTGCATATACCAAGTCTGAGCTGACTGTTGGGATTCCTGATGCCATTGGCACCATGGCACCCAGCATGGAGTTCATTCTGCAGCCCCCATGCTTATTTGACGCTGGCAGGAAACTCAGCGTCTCTGCACTGCCACTGGCTGTTGTATTTATTCAGCGGACTCGGGAGCCACGACAGCTTCCAACGGAAGCGGGTGATTACAGCTGAACCCCAGCACAGGTTCCTGCCACCTGCACGCATGACTCAATAAGCCTGTTTCCCTTCTTAAAAACAAATAAAATAGAGTCACCAGCAAGCCAGTACCTATTATTAGAGTTGGTGAGGAAATTAACGAAATAAAGTGTACATAAAATGTTCAGCATACGAATGATAAATCAGATAGCAGAAAGGTTAGTGCAGAGCCTGGTAGACAACAAGTGTCCAGCAGAGTCCGGGCTCACTGCAGTTGTTGCTTTCGGTGGTGGGGGTGGGTTACGGCTGTAACGTACGTCTGACCACAGCGGCAAGGCCTGGTGCCCTGGTACCCGCCTGCGGCCTACAAACAGAACTGATGGCTGCATCGGCGCCATCCTGGGACAGAAACACGGTGACCTTAAGTTGTTGTTGTTGTTGTGTTGTTTAATCATGGTCACCCTTTTGGAAAGTGGTTTAGGAAAGGGGTTTAACCTGGAAAGCCATGATATTTATTTGTTAGATTTTTTTTCCCCTTTCTTAAATCCAAAAAGGCCTCATGAACTTAGAGCTTCTACGCCCTAGGTCTACAGCCACTCCGCTACGCAAACCCCTTCTCTTCTTTTGAATAAACACTTTGCAATCTGCAGGACTTCTCTACGACTTTTTTTTCCCAAAAAAAAACTTGTGAATCTGTTTAGAAAGAAAAGAAAAAGGGGAAAGAGAGGGGAGAATAAAGCCTTCTGTTTTTCATAATGTCTAATCTTTCTCCCACTGGCATTCACCAGATGTTGCTTTGGATCGGAAGATAAATATTAAAATCTAAGCAAGAACAAAGTGAGCTGTTTACTGGGCAGATTGTTCAGATGTTTTCTTGAACACTTGAAAAAGACAGGAGATGCTTTGATATGCAGGCCGCCTGGGACCCGTGACAGCTTGACCCTGCTAGAGAGCTGCAGGGTCCAGGGCTACGTCCACCGGGCTTGTGCTTTCCGATGGCCCTGTGGCTGCGCTGACCACATCCTGGTAGGAAAGGTGAAAGGACAGGCAAAAAATAAAAGGAGCTACCTGACAAAGAGACCCAAGAATGACAACGCGGCCGGCTCTGTCCCGTGATCCGAGGCAAGGAGATCCTGGAGACGCCGTTCACACACGCAGAGGTAAGGCCACGCTTTGGGCAGCATTTCTGTCCCTACGGTGACAGTCAAGTTGCACTGGACATGGGTGTGTCTGGCCTTTCCACGGGCGTCTCCCCTGGGCTGCAGGTCACACAAGGGAGCCACAGACACTAGGAGAAAATCAGGAGGAAGTGAGGCAAATCCAGGGAAAGACTGAAGGTCCCACATCACTTCATATACCAAGTCCAAGATCCTCCCGTGACCAAGACAGAAATGAAGTTTCCCGTATACTCATATCAAAAGCTGTGTCACACGCATCTCGCACAGAGAGATAAAGTAATGTTTTTGTGAGATGTATATCCTCATCACAAATAAAGACCTGTGTGGACACAGAAGAGAACATGAGACTGAAAATGGTTAGGATACTTTAGAACCTGCTAGCAATGGCTCTGGTTTATTTCTCTTCCTCTTCATTTTAAAAACATATTTACCAAACAGAGTTGTGTTCCTAAACAACATACTATTGAGATAAGTCCCTAAGCTCAGTAAGACACAACAGAAAACGCTGGGGGACCTACTCTCTTCAGTCAGTGTCCTAGTCGCAACATTTGCCCCAGTTCTTGCATGTAACTCCAGGGGAGATGTTCTGTTTCCAATGCTGCATTGCATGAAAGTAAAACAAGGTACTTATCCTTTCTTTTACCAGTGGACTTCTGGATATTTGCAAATAGTTGCTACTACACATGTGCAAAACTTCCTCTGGGGTGAATGCCTACAGAAAAAGTACATAGGCACAAGTTAACTTTGCAAGAGGGCGCCGTATTACTTTCCACTGCTACCTGATGAAGTGGTCTGAGGAAGAAGAAGAGGCTGGTGCTCTGTCCAGTGTGTGGCACAAAGAGACACTTAAAAAAATAAGTTTTTATTCTTAGGCATGCCCCTGCATTCCCACTAGACTATGCGATCCCATTACCTGACATAATTTTCAGCAGTTGAAATGATCAGACTCTGAATTTTTGCCAGTCCATATTATCATATGTGGCCTTAGAAATTGCGTTCTTAGCCAGGTGCTGGTGGCTCACACCTGTAGCCTTGAGCACAAAGAGGCTCAGGGACACTTGAGCTCAAGGCTGTGAGCTCAAGGCCCAGAACCGAAAAAACAATTGCATTTTTAGCATTACCTTTTAGGTTGAATCATTTCTTGTGTATTTACAGAAAAAAAATAATGTTTCTTCTATGAAACTCATTTTCCTGCTATCTGCCCATTTTTCTATGGAACTGTGTTTTTCCTTTTCAATTGGTATTTATATGTGTGTTTCTATTCTGGCTATGAATCTTTTCAAGGTTACTACAGTATTGTCTTCTCCAAGTGTGCAGCTAGATGTACACTCCTCAGGGGATCTCCTATTAGCAGAAGTTCTCAATTGTCATATAGTTAGGAATGGTCAGAATTCCTATCTAATGAAGAAATTCAAAGCAACTGCTTCAAGCTTGCTGACCCTTGGGTCATGTCTTCCTGGGTCAACGACACAGCCTACAGCAGAAGCACAGCAATCTGTAGGTGGAAGATAAGTCTCTACAGGAGATGATTTGGGAGCAACTCTGCCTTTAAAACTCTAAGACAGAGGCCATAGAAAAAATCTCTGTGCCAGGTGCCCCTGGATATGGAATCACCAGTGTGTGGACTTGAATCGAGGGCGGCTTGGCTCTCCGCAGAGCCAGCAGCAGGGAGCTAAGTACGCCTGAGAGGATTTGTAGCTGTGCAAGCACACCCAGACATTATCGTAGCTCTCACATTCCAAAGCACCTGATACCTAGAAAGTTCTCTGGGAATGTGTTTTCAGTGAATAAAAGCAATAAAAATGACTGACAGAGAATCTCACACGGTAACAGAACACAAGAACTTTGCAGTTAGTAAGCCCCAAGGCAAATAAAAACAGGGGCTCAACACCTATAAAATAATGAATTCATTTTAAGTGATTAAGTGGATGCAAATTGACAAGGTGGATTAGAGAAAGCACCCAGGGCTGAGGATCCAAATCCAGGACTTTTACTCAAAGTTCTGCCACTAAATAGCTCCGTGACCTTAATCGCTTTAGCTTTTCATGCCTCGTGGAAAAGTTAGTTTCCATGAAAAAGTTATTCGGTATAATTCAAGGCATAAATGCAAGAAACCCTGAGATCAAAGATCTTGCTCATTTTAAACAAATGCAAAGTATTAGTTTCATCTAACAGGATGTTTTAGCACCTGTGATATGAAAAGTAAAATTCTGCTTTGGTTAAAAGTATAATTTAGGAAGAGGGTAAGGCCTGAGGACCCCAAAAAGTAGGCAAAGAACCTTCCTGTCTTCCTCTTTCGACTCCCACCCCACTCATATTATCAGGGCGATGGCAGAGAAGTCAAACAGTGAAGGGGCGGGGGAGGGGGGAGTTGCTGAGACCCTGTCCTGCCTGGAATGAGACATGGAGCCCCACCTGCAAAGCCAAACCGCAGAATGAAAATCAAAGCACGGGTCGAACTCAAAGTGACCTTGGCAAATTAGAGACAAGAACAGAAATAAACAAAAGCCCGAATGAAAAAGAGCAAGGCAGAAAGCTACGGAAGAAAAATATAAATATGAAGGATCTCCAGCTGTGCACAGCCATGTTGGAAACACACACACACACACACACACACACACACACACACAATAGTAGGTAACACAAAGACCACCAACCAGTAAAGCGGCAATCTAATTTTAAAAACAAATATTAGGACTGGGTACTGGTGGATCATGCCTGTAATCCTAGCTACTTAGAAAACTTCGGTATTAAAGATTATGGTTCAAAGAAAAGTATAAGAGACTCTGTCTTTAAAATAGCCAGCAAAAAGCTTGCCTGGAGGCATGATTCAAGTGGTAGAGCACCAGGCAAATAAGCAAGCTACCCAACTGCAAGTCCTTGAGTTCCAGTCCCAGTATTAACGCAAGTAAGTAAATAAATAAATGCAAATATGGGTCCAGATTTTCTGCAAATACTTTTAAATGCTATCCAATGTAGCCAGGATCTGTTTCCCCAGAGGAGACACCTGGTTTGGTTTCAAATTAGGTGAAAATACAGGTTATCAGAGAAAACACACACACAAAAAAAAATTGGAGATTTTCTGTTTCCAGATGCCCACAAATCTAACCATCTCCCCACCAGCTCCGGAGCCAAGGCTCCAAGGACCCCACTTTGAGAACCAATGTCCTAGTGGCCTGGGACGTTTCTGCTTTGCCCAGGCCACATGCTGACACAGGCTGAGAAGGTCGAGTGGTTTTCTCTACGAATGTCAACAGTGTCGGGCTGGGAGGGTGGATGCTGGGAATCTTCTTCAGAAACAGATTCTTCTCTGATCATATACAATAAGATTTATTGAAATGAATTCCGGGAAATGGAAACAAGAACGGTTTGGGTTTTCTTTTTTTCCTTTGCTGTTGATTTTGTTTTCTCTTTCCTTTTGTCCTGTTTGTCTGTCTTTGGGGAAATAAAAGGGAGTCACAGGAAATGGAGGGACAGAGAATGAACAAATGCAGCAGTGGTAGTCACTAGACACTATGTTGAAAATGAACTGTACAAAGTGGGTGGGAATGGGATGGGAAACATACAAGAAAGCAAAGGAGGGAGTGACACTGTCCAAAAAGAAATGTACTGATTACCTGACATGCAACTGTAGCAGCTCTGTACATCATCTTTATAATAATGATGAAAAAATTAAAGAACAGATTCTCAGCCAAGTTGAGTGTGTATGATTTTTATCTGAAAGGAGGGGAATTACTAGAAAATGTCCTCTTAATTATTCCTACGGCCATTTTATTTTTATTATAGACTAGCTTTCTAGGAGAGGGAGATAAAACCATTATATACTCAAAATTTATTTTTATCCAGTTTCTTGGGGCCACAGAATTCCCAAATCTCATCCTGCATCTTATGTAATTAAGTTCTGTATTTTGGCCTCATAAACTCATCTCCATTTTTTAGATGATGAGCAGGAAGGTATTTTTAAAAACTTTGTCAAGAAAGAGGAAAATAGTCAACTGATTTTCTCTGTGTGCTTTGCACATTGGTGAATGGTTAGTGACATCTAGTGGCAATATTAAGAACTACAACTCCCTAAGGCTGGGCGCTGGTGGCTCAAGCCTGTAATCCTAGGTACAGAGGAGGCTGAGATCTGAGGATCACAGTTCAAAGCCAGCCCAGGCAGAAAGGTCCACAAGACTCTTATCTCCAATTAACCACTAGAAAACCAGAAGTGGTGCTGTGGTTCAAGCGGTAGAGCGTCTGCCTTGAGCTGAAGAGCTGAGGAACAGCACCTAAGCCTAGAGTTCAAGCCCCACAACCAACAAAAAAAAAAAGAAAGAAAGAAAGAAAAGAATTACAACTCCCTAATCAAATACCTTGCTCTTAAATACAAACTGGGAATTCTAAAGACTTTTTTATTTTTTTAAGTTAATCACATCCTTAAAAATAACCACATTATTTTCCACTATGTCAGAGGTTTCCTGGACTTGAAATCTTATGGATTTTGAATTTGTACTTCTAATTGGAAAGTGTTTTGCAATAATACCAAAGAACTTCAAAGTGCATTAAAGAACAATATGAGAAAACCTACTCTTCAAATCTGAAGCGGCATGAATGGTCTGAACCTAGACACGGCTGTTAGTTACATCACCACTACCCCTACTTGCTTCCCTCATTCCTTCTTCGAATACTACTTTTGCACACATGCTGTGCACCCGGCTCCAGGAAGGGAAGAAGAGCAGGAAAAGAAGCAGACAACCTCTTAAACTCTAATGTTCAGTCGAAAGTTTCTTCCTAGGAAACTGGTCTCTCTTCTACCATGTTAAGCTAATACACAACAGCAGCAAATTCAGGCTCTGGGACTTTAAACAAGAGCTGTGTCTCCTTGCTGTCCTCCCCCTCCTCCTCCTCCCTGCCCTCCTCCTCATCCTCCCATAGGACACCAGAAGAGGAAATCACTAGAGCACCAGCACTGTCTATCGCAAAACTATCACCCAAGCTCAGATGAAATGCCACCACGATCACGTCAGGAAGCCTTAGCCCACGTCCAAACTGCAGACAAAACCCATCATAGTGTAACTCCAAACACTACACAGAGTGCTTATGTGTATAACGGGTTCTCAAATGAAAAAGCCCAAGACCTAGGATTATGTCATCAAGATAATAACCTGGCTTAACTGGAGCTCTCTCAAAGACACGGAGGTCCAGAAGTTAAAGATAGTAATTTCCTCCCTGGGCTTTTCCCCCTGAAGCTCAGTGGGTCATTGTCATGTGCTATAAAACCCCAAGCTTTGCACCTTGCTCTGTATTCTCTCCCCCGTGAAGACCGTGATCCTCACCCCACAATTTACATCATGGCGATGCAGCTCCGAGGGGTGAGTGATCTTAGCTTTCTTTTTTTTTTTAACCGAAGCAGTCATCAGTGCTCTGGTAGCTACTGAGACACTGCAGGTGGCTCCCTTGCCTACAGTAATGATTCAGAAACAGACCGCACCGCCAGTGACGCATGAGGCCCCGAGCTCCATCCTCAGGGTCACAGAAGAAATGAACAAGACGTCCGGCTGGACCATGTCCACCCTCTGACTATACTCCCAGCAAGCCCACCAGCTTCTCTCCTCCCTCCCTGCAGAACGAATGCTCAGAATCCAACCTCGCTTCTTGCCCCGTCACATGACTGCCAAGAAGAGCACAGGTGACCATTTTTAACAGCAACCCAGTCATCACTAGGATAAATGTATTATGGGCCATTTCAGAGACGGAGAGCAGTGGAAAGCTGTTCCCAGGAACTCAGAGGGAAGTACAGCTGTACAGCAGTACCGACCGACACAAACAGAACAGGCCAAAGAATCCCATGTTCCTTCCATGCGTCAGAGACTTGTGTGTGGCGCCGAACTCACCATCCAGGGGCAGGAGCAAGCAGCTGAAGGCAGACGCAGTCGAGTTCGGCAAGACTTGGCACGGATAACCACACACGGCAGCCGAGATATTCCCGGGAGAAAGTCCTGCTCCACACGCGTGGACAGGCTGCCCACGAAGGCAGCCTTGAGGGGCAAAAGAACACATCTGAGCAGCCAGACACACCTGTCTCTCCGCGTCACACTCAACCCGTAGCCTCCGCTTTCCTGCAGCACGGCCTTCTCACGCACGAGTGGCCTCGGGTCAGGATTCTCAAACTTCTCTCCTCGGGCTCGGGTCCCTGCTGTTCTATCGGATTCCAGCCATATCCAAGGGCCCGTGGGTGCGTGTTTGGGGAAGGGGGTCCTGGGCTTGAACTCTTGGCTTGTGCACTGTCCCTGTGAGCTAGTGCCCACTTAAACCACAGCTCCACTGCTGGCTTTTTGGGGGGGGGGAGGGCGGGAAGTAAAAATGCTCTTTCCCATGAGGCTTTCCTGGGCTGGCTTTGAACCACTATCCTCAAACCTCAGCCTCCTGGGTAGCTAGGATTACAGGCGTGAGCCACTGGCGCCCAGCAAGAGGGCTTTACACAGCCGCCCGGGACGGGGACGGGGACGGGGACGGGACGGACACACGCCACCCCGGACCAGGACGGGGACGAGGACGGGGACAGGGCGGACACGCGCCACCCCGGACCAGGACGGGGACGAGGACAGGGACGGGGACAGGGCGGACACGCGCCACCCCGGACCAGGACGGGGACGAGGAGGACGGGGACAGGGCAGACACACGTCCCCCGGGACCAGGACGGGGACGGGGACGGGGCGGGGACGAGGAGGACGGGGACAGGGCGGACACGCGCCACCCCGGACCAGGACGGGGACAAGGACAGGGACGGGCGGACACACGCCGCCAGGGAAGAGGAGGAGGCCGCGCCCAAGGTTCGCAAAGGCGAGACAGCGAGGGCGAGGCGGCTCCGGGGCGGAGCGCGGCTGCAGCCAGCATGAGGCCGAGGACGGCCGGGACCCCGCGCAGGCCGCGTCCACGCCGAGGACGGCCGGGACCCCGCGCAGGCCGCGTCCACGCCGAGGACGGCCGGGACCCCGCGCAGGCCGCGTCCACGCCGAGGACGGCCGGGACCCCGCGCAGGCCGCGTCCACGCCGAGGGGCGGCGGGGACCCCGCGGGCCGCGTCCACGCCGAGGGGCGGCGGGGACCCCGCGGGCCGCCGGGACCCTGCGGGCGGGGATGGACCACGCGAGGGGGGGGGAGGGAGGGACTACGCGGGCGGGCGGGACCACGCGGGCGGGCGGGGACCAGGGGAGGGGAGGGACCACATGGGTGGGGAGGGACCACGCCAGGGGGGGAGGGACCCCGCGGGCAGGGAGGGACCACGCGAGGGGGGGGACCACGCGGGCGGGCGGGGACCAGGGGAGGAGAGGGACCACGCGGGTGGGGAGGGACCACGCGAGGGGGGGACCACGCGGGCAGGGAGGGACCACGCGAGGGGGGGACCACGCGGGAGGAGGGACCACGCCAGCGGGGGAGGAACCACGCGGGGGGGGGGGAGGGACCACGAGGGCGGGGACCACGCGAGGGGGGGGGGACCACGCGGTGGGGGGACCACGCGGGGGGGACCAAGCGAGCGGGGGGAGGGACCACGCGGGGAGGGGGGAGCACGGGGGGGAGGGGCCACGCGGGAGGGGGGAGGGGCCACGCGGCTGGAGACCATGCGCATCCCCCCTGGCGCATGCGCGCCGCCTCCTTCCCGGCCCCCATCCCATCCGCCCTGGAACCCCACTTCCACATGGTGCTGCGCGGACGGTTACACAGCTCCGTGTAAATCCTAGGGCCCCCCGAACCCTGTGTCCCCCCAATCCCTGTATCCCATCGAACCTGAACCCCTGTACCCCCTGAACCCTGTATCCCCCTGAACCCTGTACCCCCTGAACCCCTATACCCCCTGAACCCCTGTACCCCCTGAACCCCTGTAAGCCCTGAACCCTGTATCCCCCTGAACCCCTGTATCCCCTGAAACCCTGTACCCCCTGAACCCCTGTATCCCCCAAACCCCTATACCCCCAGAACCCCTGTACCCCCTGAACCCCTGTACCCCCTGAACCCCTGTATCCCCTGAACCCCTCTACCCCCAGAACCCCTCTACCCCCAGAACCCCTCTACCCCCAGAACCCCTCTACCCCCGGAACCCCTGTATCCCCCTGAACCCCTCTATCTCCCTGAATCCCTGTATCCCCTGAACCCTTGTATCCCCCCGAACCCGTGTCCCCCGAACCCCTGTATCCCCCGAACCCCTGTACCCCGAACCCCTGTGTCCCCTGAACCCCTGTACCCCTGAACCCTGTATCCCCCGAACCCTTGTACCCCGAACCCCTATACCCCCGGAACCCCTGTGTCCCCGGAACCCCTGTGTCCCCGGAACCCCTGTGTCCCCGCGTCCTGCGCTGTGGCTGCCATCTGGCGCGGGCCACAAACGGCGGAAGCCACGCGGTCGCCCCGGCGGCCCCAAAGCCACCGGCACGGCCGGGGTCAGCGCGTCCCACCGCGTCCCAGGCCAGGCGGCCGCTGAGGGCCTCGTGCGGCTAACAGCACAGTGCGTCCGGTGATGGCGGCCCTGGCCTCCCCCCTCCTCCCCGCCCTTCCCCTGCCCGCACTCCGGGGGCCTGAGTATGGGCACCTCCTCGTCCTGCCCGCACACTGCCCAGCTCTCCAGTTCAGAGACGTCCACGGTCCACGGTCCAAGCCCCTCCTCACCACGGGGTGGTGAGCCCGTGCTGTGACCTTGGCTTGCAAAGGCCTTCCTGTGCTCAGAGGGACGAAGTGCTGCTTCTCCCCCCTTCCCTCCCCCCCCTCCCTCCCCAGCTGCCATTCCTCCCTGTGCTCCTCCAGAGGAACCTGGGGACGCCCAGGCCCACCCCAGCTCGCCCAGGCGCCCCACGACGTGAAAACTCCGGGGTCCACTCTCAGCCCCCGGGGACTAAGAAAGAGGCCTCACCAGTGAACTTAGCACTAATCCAAGAGGGAAAAGCATCTGTATGTGCTGGACAAATGAATTAGAGAGAGGGCAGGGGGGTGGGCGTGTGGGGAAGGGTGACACCGCTCAGGAGGCCTTGCCCTCATAAACTGCTTTGCGTAGGGCGCTAACTCCTTAAAGATAATGTTCTAGAACATTTAAAGATCTGCCGGGTTAAATAAGATCCGTGGTGTCAGAACTCACCCAGAAGGGACCCGCAGCAAGGACTCGTGGTACAAACCTCTGTAGTGCAGTTGATCCGAAGATCAACCCTACAAAAGATGGGGGGAAGGGAGGGGTCAGGAAACGGCAGAAAGGCGAAAGAAGAAAATAATGATAAAGACACCAAAAAAAGGCTTGCCTTTAGGGAGGAGGGAGGAGGGGCAGAGGGATGGGGCGGGAGTGTGTCCTGTGGCCTGGAGAGAGGTGGGCGGGGTTTGTTGTGGGCCCACTGCTCATGGAATCATGGGTCCCTCACAGGTCAGCCTCCTCCAGAATGCCAAGGAACCCACAGACAAATGCTAGACCAGGGGCTTGTGGGACAAACAGGCCCCGGTGAGGCTTGCAAAGTCTCACCAAAGACCTACAGCCCAGATTTCCCTTCTTCCACTGCAGATGCCCACTCCAAACAAGTTCTAGAAAGTTCCGTGTTCCCCACTAAGCAGGGGGGATTCTGCATTAGGCTTGGGAGCAAAGCGTCTGTGTCCCATGGTGTCAAGATTCTCCTGTCTGTGTCTCCTTACTTCCCAAGATAAAAGACCTCAATGGAAACTATAGAGTTCCACTGGAATCCCCAGAGCACCAGTCAGACCCAGGATCAATGCCCGTGGCCGCCTCACCCTTGAGAGCCCATGTGGATGGAGACTGAGGTTCGGTGGAGGGCCGGCGGCCAGGGAGCCAGGACCACTGCCAGGCCCCGAGCTGTCCACGCATGCAACTGAGCCAGGCTGCCCTGGATGCAGATTTCCACCTCCAGATCTATGTAATTCTCCAGCTGGGTCACAAGGAAGAGCAGCTCACCACCTGCATGAAAGCAGCTGTGAGCTCTAGCACGTGGCTCACCGGCTCCCACTGCTTACGTCTTCTCACACCAAATACACGGCCAGCTCTGCATAAGTCACTAATTTTAAAATGTTAGGGCTTATGTAATTTTTCACAAAATTACCACCACACTCTGGATATTCCTGCCAGTCACCAGGGTTACTTGCCTACAGCTGGTGCTCTACCACTTGAGTCACACATTCAACCCAACGTTTTTGCTAGTTCATTGCAAATGAGGTCCAATGGACTTCTTTGCTAGGTCTGACTTCAACCCCAATCTCTAGACTTTAGCCTCCTAAATAGGTGCCCGGCTAGCTCACTTTGTGGCCTTCAGAATACGTTTTTTCCCCCCATAGGAATATTACAATGCAAGAGCAAATGCTGAAAAGGATGCGTTTTGTTGTGCTTAATCATAAAACAGTAACACAACTTTCCTGGGCTTTTGGTCAATTGTCAAGCTAACCCTCAGATGCCTTTGAGCACTGATGCAATGTATTTATTCTTTTCATTATAAGTAGAAAATTGTATTAAAAGCCCAAATCACTGAAATCTGAATAGAACATGGAATCCCCGCCTTCCTTTTCTTACTTTATTGGGAAGAATCTATACCACAAGGGAATTTTACACATTCTGGTTGCCCAAGGCAGTAAATTCTGTACTACCTAAGCTGAATTATACTGAGAAGGTACAGGATGCTTCCTTTTATTTATGCACTCTGGAGTTATGGGAAATGAAACTAGTACCAGAAAAAAAAAAATTGAATTCAAGCTTTCTTCTTTGTGAAGATGAAAAGAGTATCAGAAAATTTTGAGTTCGAGCTTTTTTCCTTGTGCAAATATGATGATCCGTTTTATACTAAACCTTCTGTAACGGATGCTATAAACACCTTTATCTGGCATTTGCTTAACCAGAAAGAGGTGATCGCTGCTACTTTTCCCAATCTATATTGTTACAACAGGACAAGAAATAGTAATAATTTCATCCTCTCCTCTGTATCATCAGAGAATGGTTAAATTATTTCATGTGGTTGGTGCTAATACTTGCTTATTCAGAGCACCACATTTTAATTGTACTAAATAATTGTCACAAGTGAACACACAGCAAAAATGGTACTGTACTATAAGAAGCTAATTGTTTGAGACCTACATGCAAACTTCCTGGGGTTCAAATCTCAGCTCTATTACCAAAGAGAACATCTTAGATAAGCTACTATTCTTCCTTTTACTTAATTTCCTTGCTATAAACTGAGACCATCGTATAAATTAGTGGAAAGCATTCATGAAGATCTATTTTCATTTACTATTAATATTAGTGCATGGTATGTACTCAGCAAATATTGACTCAATGTTACACTTGAGTTCTCATATCATTTTTGTGATGGGAATAATCCCAGTTTCAGAGAGGAAAAATTAGAAATAAGAAAACTAATGACAACATGAAAAAAAGAATGTTTCCTGTTTTCTAGTAGGGACAAAAAAAAAATCCATCAAAACTATAACAAGAATTATAGGCCACTGATTGAGGCTTTTTTTTTTTTTTTGACAGTCCCAGAGTTTGAACTCAGGGCTGGGGTGTTGTCCCTGCTTTTGTGCTCAAGGCTAGCACTATACCACTTGAACCACAGCTCTGCTTCCAGCTTTTGGTGGTTAACTGCAGATAAGGGTCTCATTGATTTTCCTGCACCAGCAGGCTTCAAACCATGATCCTCAGATCTCAGCCTCCTGAGTAGCTAGGATTACAGGCGTGACCCACCAGTGCCCAGCTTGATTGATGTCTTTCTAGGATGAATGTTGTAAGAAAAAGTGGTTGCCACGGCATGTGTCTTACCTGCTATGTTGCTTTGGTTTCTGCTCAGAGACATAACCACCAGACTCAAAGAAGGGATGTAAGTAAATGCCCCGGGAAGGACAGCAGAGTGTCCCCGTCTGACCACTGTCACGTTCACAGTGTATCCATCTTCCCCCTGAAAAATTTGTTTTCAAGGTCCAGGTTCAGGGAGACTTGAGGGGAGAGAATTCCATGTTGAATTACTTTATAAGGTTAATTTCAACCAAGTTGATACAGAGGTATATTTGTTACTCTCAAGGCTCTCCCTCCCTCTCTCCATCCCCCCCTTTCTCTCTCTTCTTAACAAAAACTTAATTATGGAAAATATAATATTGAAAAGAAAGCAAAAGATCTGCTCTAAAAGGTAAGCAATAATTATTTGAAATTAATACATAAATGGTTTGGGGGGGAAATAAAATAATTTTGAGAATGTCTATGCCCAACTAAACTATCCATCAAGCAGGAAAGAACTTCAAGACATGCAAACGCCCAGAAAATGTCCCTTGTGTGACGTTTCCTAAGGCACAAATAACGATCAAGAAAGAGAAGATAGGGATTCCAGGAAACAGCAAACCTACTCACAAGAGCCAAACCAAGGGCAGTAGTAGGGCAATGCGATCTTAGAACAAATCTGGAAAACAACCAGCCTAACTACACGAGAGGAAAGCGGCGCTCCAAGGGAAGAGAGTAACAGACACGCTGAAAGTTTTTGCAGAAGGACAGTGCATTCACATTACAAGAAAGAAAGAGGAAGTGAGGAGGGATAAAGGAAATCTGGGAGGTGAAACAATTCTCTAAGGAAGGTGATGACCTACGTCTGCTTTTAAACATAAACAATTGTAGCATGAATGTGTTCTGCAGGTTTAACAAAAAAAATATTACTGGAATTATATTCAAAAGAATTAAACGTGGTTGTTCCCAAAGGGGAGCCTAGAGGAGGGGGAAAGGGAACAAAAGAGCCTGGTTATTCAACTATTTACCTTTTAACCTTCATATGTACTACTTGGGTCAAAATTAAAGGTTTGCTTTTCTGATGTTTATCCCCTCCAGTAAAACAAACCAGCACAAAGTTTACCCATTAAGAGGTTAAGTGGGTGGGAACCAAGATGACCACGTTGGCCCATGTGCCAAAACCCATTTCCCTGCACCTCGATAGGGGAGAATAAAATGGAAATGAACTCCAAACAACAGGATACTGTATATCCAAAGCTTTACAATGCAGCTTCATTTACCCTGGGAAAATAAATGGGCAGGGAAATATTAACATCACCAAAACTCTGTTGTTTATAATAGGAAAAATTTAGAAATTATCCAAACGCCCAATAACAGAGAATAGTTAAACAAATTACAACTCAACTGCATATTCAAATTGTCCAACGTTTACATATAAAGGCTAGCTTTTCATAATATTTAAGGAACTGGATGTGATAAAATCATAGGACCAGTGGATCAAAGGGTTTTCTGAACCCTATCTTCCAGAGGATCTTTATTCGTCCAGTAGATGGCCATCTTTGGGGTTCACAGAGGTGCTAGCAATGTTGGCGACAATACTGTCAACTCTGAATAGAAAGTCCAACGGCAGCCATGCATGTGGCCAGCATGACAGGCACCAGAGAATGACCCACCTCAAGCCCCCAGCGGGCAGGAGTCAGTGCTAATGTCATGGAAGGAGAGCCCGAGGACTGTGTTCACAGGACAGGGAAGCACTAGGGAACTAGCAGACAGATGTCTCCTAAGAACCAGGAGAATAGTGGAAGGGTTGGCACTGATCAAGAGACATTGTACTCTTAAGTTAGCATGTTGAATCGAAACTCATTTGTAGCTTACAGGAAGGAAGGAAGGGAGGAAGGAAAGAGGGAGGAAGGGAGGGAGAGAAGGGATTTGTTCTAGAAGTGTCTTAATCTCACCATTCCCATCTATCCCAGAAAACAAAACTGCTAGTGAAAATGTCCATTTGTCATTTGCTTAAGGAAGAAGAGAATACCTAAGTCTCGCGACTTTTATTCATTCTGTGTCACCGACACTACCCGGGGACAGCTTGAGCTGACTGTTTTAAAGGCAGTCACTGGAGTGTATGACAAGGTGGCTTCAGCTTTCCCTTACAGCAAAGTAGAGAGTAGAAATAAAAGGAGCACTGTCATGATGAGAAAGATGTTCGTGCCATTCAAGTTAGCTCTAAGGAGTGTTTTCTAAACGCCTTGCGTTAAGAGTAGCTGCCCATCCAGACAGAAAGAGTCGCCCTTCGAGTCCTCATACAGCTCTTACCCTGGGTGGAACTCTGCAGTGAATCCTCCGGGAGTTGCTGATGGTGGCATTGATGGTACAAGACCGAGACCCAAATAACACCAGGTGAACGCCCTCCAGACGGTGCCCTCGGATGAGGGCCCAGAGTCCTCCTGCCCCCAGAACAGCCTTTTTAGATGACAGTCACAGCCAGACAACAGGTCACAGCAATTCCACCGTTTGCAAGAGAGAAGCAAGCCAAACTCAAATGTGAAACTATGGTCCAGACACAGGCAAGGCTCAAACTGCAGGGAAGGTGAATATATGTGTGTGTGCGTGCGTCCACACGTATAAACATGTATGTATGTATGTACATATATTCCATATATACATGTGTGATATATTCATATATGTATTGAACTACATTCAACAACTCAACAACTAGCCTGACTTTGTCTGATGGCAGCGGTGAAGCCAATCTCTCTGTGAGGAGTGGGTGGACTTAAGTGCAGAGGTCTACTGCTCACAAGAAGACATTGTTTGGGACACGATTAGCTAGGAATCATGACCTATGTGGCCTGTGTGACAGTCAGGACCAGATTTCTCCATGCTGGTAAGGGGCATGGTATGTTCACCCGGCCACATTACCTGTGTCTGCCCCTCTGGCCGGCTCCACAGCCTCCAGCCAGGTCTCCACAGAGAGGAAGATGCCTTCCCCACTCTCGCTGATGGCCAGACCCACGGGCCTCACCCACACAGAGAGCTGGTGCACTCCGACCGGGAGCAGGCCCATCCGGCAGACCACATTGGTTTGGTTCGAGAAAACAACTTGGCAACTTGTTCTGTTCACTGTGACCTGTAAGGCCTGGGCTGCGGCCGAGAAACCAACTCCGGTCATGTAAACCAGGAGGTTGGTGTCACCATCTACAAGAACAAAGGAAGAAAATGAAAAGCCAAGATAGCTCTGAGCGACGGCCCTCTCCCTGAGACAGCTCCACGTGCCAATTCTCCTTTGCCTTCCTCTTCCTGGAGCTTAGGAGTGGCTCATGCTTGCATTTAGCACTGTAATTCCTAACCATCTGAAATAGGTCGCTGCTTAAACTTTTTAAAAACTTAATAATACTTTCAGCATAAGGGACAAGGAGAAAGGAGAAACAAATTCAGTGCAGTCCCTAAGCCACTGGAATTGGGGGGGGGGGGGGCGGGGGGGCGGGGCGTAGGGCTTGAACTCTGGGCCTGCACAGAGTTTTCCCATTTAACAAAGCAGCTAATGTTCACAATGCATTGATCAACCCTTTAAAATGTCCTCTCCGCTTCCACCCTCCCCATCCCTCCTGCTTCTCCATTCTGTGATATACAAGATGAATTCCTGACTCCTTCTCCCCTTCAAATCAACAACTCCTGTGTCATCCATCCATCCCAGTAACAAAATCCCTTTAGGTGGACTAAAAATAAACTTCCAGTCCCACCTACCAACTTCCACTTAAAAACGAACATCACCCGCTATGTGGCTTCTAATCAAATCCCCAGGTCTAAGATCCGCGCCCGTCCAGTGCCAAGTCCCGAGCCATACCGAGAGAGTACCACACAGAACGGACCCTGGGCGTCACCCCCGGAAGGTACTGGAAGGAGCAGGGACCGGCGCAGTGAGCAGGGACGCCATTCACCTCCACCACCACCTGCAGGAAAAAGAAACACCAAAAGTACAAGATGGGGCTCATAAACCACTGGAGATTTCTCAAACGCAAATGTGCTCCTGGTTTACTGAATGCTGCTTCTTTCTTCCACTTTCCAGTAATAAACCTAAAGTCATTGTGAGTGGCTCATAATATGGGAGGCTTTCTGATAAATGGAAATGCTAAGCTAAATCCGTTTTGTAACTAGGCACAATTGTACTATATGCCACATCGTATAGACCTAGGGTCCCGCTATGATTCCCAGGCTGGCTCAAGTGACTTGGCCACAGCCTCTCACATAGCCAGGGCTACGGCACATGCCACTCAGACAAGAATATGCTATCTGCTTCCTACATTTCCACTGTGCACAGCTCATCAACGTAAGTGTCACTAAGACACTTCTTAGGAAACATCCTTTCTGGGCTGGGAAGGTGGCTTAGTGGTAGAGTGCTCGCCTCGCATGCATGAGGCCCTGGGGTTGATTCCTCAGCACCACAGAAGCAGAGAAAGCTGGAAGTGGTGCTGTGACTCAAGTGGCAGAGCGCTAGCCTTGAGCTGAAGAGCTGAGGAATAGCGCCCAGGCCCAGAGTTCAAGCCCACAACAAGAAAAGAAAACATCCTTCCTTTCCCAGTAAAGGCCAACAAAGTAAAAACTGGTAGTGTGACTCAAGTGGTAAAGGACTGGCAAAGCAGTCATTTATAACTAAGACAAAGTACATTGAACATAGGCTATTTTGTCCAATAACAGTAGGCTCCTAAGAAAAGATTGTAGTTGGCTCCCGTAGATTAACAGGATGCACAATGCCCCTGGGTTCAATCCCCGGTCATGAAAAAAGAACCCTACGAGTCTCTTCCTTTCATTGAAATGGATGCCACCTGCAGCATCAGCTTAGACGTACAAACGTGTGCCACCGTGGAAAATGTGGGGACAAAGACCAGTTTGATCCACAATGCTTTCATTTGCAGAAAGACAAGAATATCAGTATGTCAGAATGCTGACAGTATTTGGGCCCCTGGATGCTTTGCTCTCCATCCTTTATTTCAATCTTCTCTCACATCAAGAGCAGAGGACTTATCACGAGAACACAGGCAGATGGGAAAGACAGAAGGACATTTCGGAGAGGCGAGGATTCAGGCCGCCCATTCCCTTTCCCGTGTGGCTGTGCAGAGGTAGAAATCAGATCTCGCGTGGGGAGCGTGAGCACACAGTCATGGTGTCGGTGATTATCAGGCTGCTTCGCGTGCTTTGTAGGGGTAGAAAGAACTCGACTCTCATAGCCTCTGTCTACTATGATTGGGATCCGGCCCTCGGGAGCAAAGCCAGCTTACACGCCCGGCAGCGGCTACGTTGGTTGCACGCGACACAGGCACTTGTGCGTGCGTGGCCCGCACACCCTCACCTGGGCTTGTGGGTTCGCGGTAGCCAGCATGTCTCCAAATATGGGTCCAAGGAACACCCCGCCATCATACACCACCCGGACATCCACGGCGGCGTCCACTCCGGTAAGATTGTGATGGGACACCTGAGAGGGTTACATTTCCGGTCAGTTCCACCAGCGACAGAAATCGGGTCTCGATTAGAACAAGTTCTCTTTGGGGTTCTTATGTCTGCCTGAGAAAACCAGGCAGTCAACGCGAGGAGCCCAAGCCTCAGGTCCACTGGGAAGTCAGAGCTGAGGGAAAGCCGGCAGCCTCGTCACAAGCAGAGCCGGCAAGAGCCGCGACGCGTGAATCTAAGACTCAAGACGCACTGTTTCTAGATGCTTCTCTCTTTTGTAGGTTTGCCGTGCTCTGAGCTAGGATCAAGACCCCCGTCCTTCCATTGCCAACCCCAGGATTTTGTCTGAAGCCCACCTGCCCCCTGGGGGGCCCACACTCTCAGGCTCCACGTTATAATAACCAAATGCTAGATGATCATTGCTTTATTTTTTAAACCCCTAAATATGCAGGAGCATCTGGTTTTGTCATTATCCAAAGACAGCAAATCTTTTTCCCACGCTCCTTCTGCCACGCCATCTGCCTCCGAGATAACCCGAGCCCAGCGCATCTGCTTGAATTACCCACGAGCAGACGCGGGGCTCCGCGCGTGGACGCTGGACGCTGGCCTGCGATTTCCCTGTCTACACCCTGCTAGGAAAGAAGCCCCTGGGCTGAAACGGCTCTACCGGGCTGGGGCAGGAGATGCAGAACAGGTGTTGGAATCTTCTAGAAGGAAAGATCATGGAAGCCCTTTAAACTTGAAGATTCCCACAAAATTAATCATCCACGACAACTTCTATCCTGTCATTCTGATCATCTTTATTTTCCTTATCAAGTTTCTCCAAGATAACAAAGCCATATCACAAAGAAGCTGGGGGGGTGGGGGAAACGTACCCCGATCACGTCGGGCAGGTCCCCCGTCTGCATGGGCCAGGACAGGCTCCACACACGCTCGTAGCAGGAACCTCGCTCCTCCACCGTGAAGTCAGCGGCCTTCAGGGGGCCGCACGGGGCGCCCTGGGCGTTGTCCCGTAGAAGCTGGTGGAGCCCGGACGCGGACGTGCCCACGGGGATGTCTGCGAGGGAAGGGTTTTCACGTAGGGAACACAAGGCACTCGTTGATCTGCCTTTATCACCAGCGTAAACGTGAGCACTGCTGCCCACGTTGCAAGAGACCTTCAGCGTCAGCACGGGAGACTCGGAGAGGCACATGGGCCTCGTGGGCTGCCTTCCCCCACGTAAACACAGACAGCACGCACCCTCTGTGCATGCAGCACCGCCCGCCATCTGCCAGACCAAAGGACAGTCTCAGGGAAACAAGGCCAGCTGCGGGCGGGCGGGCGGGCGGGCTCCACACGCGGCTGTCGTGGCCGAAAAGCTAACGAAAGGTTGGGTTCTCGATGGAAAAAGCTCGCTGGCCCTGTGAACATGGGAAAGGGGGACACTCGGCGGGAAGACAGGGCTGACACGCACGCGGCAAGCCCAGCCGACCCCGCTGAGGACTGTGGGCACAGGCCTCCGGCCTATCAGAAATCACCTGCTTCCCCCTGGAGAGAATTAGCAAAGCTCTGCGTTTGAACCCCCGTCGTGGTTTACCAGCCCTGGGAGGCGGCTCCCTAGGACCCCCTAGTGGACCTAGAGGACCCCCTCCATCTCACTCTGGAGATGGAGAAAAATGAACCTAATGATTCTCGAAAGCTGGCCAGCCCAGCGAGACGGGCGTACGCTAAAACAGCCCTCCCGCTCTCTGCTCCAGAGCTTGCCTCTTGGATTCCAGCATGGATCCTGTGCCTTTCCACCGCGCCAGCCAGCATCTTGTCACTTAACACAAAAACACTGCTCTGCGTGTGACCCTGTCTCAGGCTCAGTGTCATTCCCAATACCAGGTTAGGGCTGGCTGCCCTTTGCAGATAACCTGGTGTCCAACACCAGCAGGGGGACACGGCAGCAGACGTGACCCCCCAAAGGTCTCTCGGGTGGGAGAAGCGTAGCATGGTGACACACTTCAAGGACACAGGCCAGGGCTGGCTCTAATCACTCATCAGCTCTAAGAGCTGAGAGGCCTCTGACCGTTCCTACACAGCCCTGTGAGAGTGGAAATACCCTTTCTCCCCTCAGACAGGAAGAACGAGCACTTCAACAACCAGATGATGTTTGGACAAATGAGGGAATGCCGGCGGTGTCCCGGGAGGGGCAGCAGAGGAGCGGAGAGAGCAAAGCGCGCAGAGGAGTGGAGAGAGCAAAGCGCCAGGTGCAGTCCTGACATGCGTGGGGGGGGATGGGAGGGGATGGAAGGAGCAACATGGACCATGGTACTCATAAGTTGATATGTTGGATTAAAGTCCCTTTGGACAACTACTGAAAGATAATTTTGATTTGTTGTTGTTGTTTTGGTCAGTTGTGGGGCTTGAACTCTGGGCCTGGGTGCTGTCCCTCAGCTCTTCAGCTCAAGGCTGGTACTCTACCACTTGAGACACAGCGCCACTTCCACTTTTCTGGTGGCTAATTGGTGATAGGAGTCTCATGGACTTTCCTGCCAGGGCTGGCTTTGAACCATGATCCTCAGATCTCAGCCTCCTGAGCAGCTAGGATGACAGGCATGAGCCACCAGCGCCCAGCCTGAAAGATCGTTTTTTTCATGACACATTGTTAAGAGAAATGAATGGTATCTTAGGAGTCGACTGTGTGGTTAAGGTAACACAAGAAGACGCTCGTCTGGCCTGGGCAGGCCTGGCTGGAGCAGGACGCAGCCTCCTGCAGGGTGGGGGGGGGGAGCTGGCCCCATGGATGGCTTCGCGTGGGGCCTGTGGGGTCCAGAGCTGGGTGAGAACCCGTCCGTGCAGCGTTCAGACCCATGTGTGGGTGAAGGGTCATTATCGCCTCAGGAAGCTCTCGGCTCAGTTTCGACGTCTAGCGAGGGAAAAGCCTGGGCGTCTGCGGTCAGTGCTCTTCCCGAGGTCCGGGAAGGCCGTGTTCAGAGGGCAGGAGACCCCACGCGAGCAGTACTCTCGGGCGTCGGGCGCCCCGCCGGCCAGCGTCACGAGGTGCTGTCGCTGCAGACCCAGGACCCCCCCCCCCCCCCCGGGGAGCCGCACGGCCCGCTGGCCCTTACCCGGGATCACTGCGTGAGGAAGCCGCAGGCTGAAGTGACCTCCCAGCGGGGGGCTCGGCCTCTGCAGCCGCCGCGCCGGCGCCCGGCATCCACACCCTCCGCCCGCTGCCTCGCTGGACACGGAGCTGCCCGGGGCAGACACAGACATTCACCACAGAGGGCACCGGAGGTGCCAACCCAGGTCCGTCCACACGCCAGCCCGAGGCCAGGAGCACATGACCCCGCTGACCCCTGACCCCATAGCACAACCCTGCTGACCCCTGACCACTGACCCCACAGCATGACCACACAGATCCTTGACCACTGTCCTCTCTACCACAGCATGACCTCATTGACCCCTGACCCCATCACCACAGCACAACCCCACTGACCCCACACCACAACCCTGCTGACCACTGACCACTGACCTCACCACCACAGCACAACCCCACTGACCACTGACCACTGACCTCACCACCACAGCACAACCCCACTGACCACTGACCTCACCTCCACAGCACAACCCCACTGACCACTGACCACTGACCTCACCACCACAGCACAACCCCACTAACCACTGACCTCACCACCACAGCACAACCCCGCTGACCACTGACCTCACCACCACAGCACAACCCCGCTGACCACTGACCTCACCACCACAGCACAACCCCGCTGACCACTGACCTCACCACCACAGTACAACCCCACTGACCACTGACCTCACCTCCACAGCACAACCCCACTGACCACTGACCTCACCTCCAGAGCACAACCCCTCTGACCACTGACCACTGACCTCACCTCCACAGTACAACCCCACTGACCACTGACCTCACCTCCACAGCACAACCCCACTGACCACTGACCTCACCACCACACCACAACCCTGCTGACCACTGACCTCACCTCCAGAGCACAACCCCACGGACCACTGACCTCACCACCACAGTACAACCCCACTGACCACTGACCTCACCTCCATAGCACAACCCCACTGACCACTGACCTCACCACCACACCACAACCCTGCTGACCACTGATCACTGACCTCACCACCACAGCACAACCCCACTGACCACTGACCACTGACCTCACCACCACAGCACAACCCTGCTGACCACTGACCTCACCTCCAGAGCACAACTCCACTGACCACTGACCTCACCACCACACCACAACCCTGCTGACCACTGACCACCGACCTCACCTCCACAGCACAACCCTGCTGACCACTGACCCCTGACCTGGCCTCCACAGCACAACTCCACTGACCACTGACCACTGACCTCACCTCCACAGTACAACCCTGCTGACCACTGACCTCTCCACCACAACACAACCCTGCTGACCACTGACCTCACCACCACAGCACAACCCTGCTGACCACTGACCACCGACCTCACCTCCACAGCACAACCCTGCTGACCACTAACCACCGACCTCACCTCCACAGCACAACCCCGCTGACCACTGACCACTGACCTCACCTCCACAGCACAACCCCGCTGACCACTGACCACTGACCTCACCACCACAGTACAACCCTGCTGACCACTGACCACTGACCTCACCTCCACAGCACAACCCCGCTGACCACTGACCACTGACCTCACCTCCACAGCACAACCCTGCTGACCACTGACCACTGACCTCACCACCACAGTACAACCCTGCTGACCACTGACCACTGACCTCACCTCCACAGCACAACCCCGCTGACCACTGACCTCACCTCCACAGCACAATCCCGCTGACCACTGACTTCACCTCCACAGCACAACCCTGCTGACCACTGACCTCTCCACCACAACACAACCCTGCTGACCACTGACCTCTCCACCACAGCACAACCCTGCTGACCACTGACCACTGACCTCACCTCCACAGCACAATCCTGCTGACCACTGACCACTGACCTCTCCACCACAGCACAACCCCACTGACCAGTGGTGACCTCCCCAGAATAGAGCTCTGGTTGTAAAGCACCACTGAAAGACACCCAGTGTTTCATGGTCTCATTTAAAACCTAAATAGTGGATATACGCAGGCATGCACACCACCTGTGCATCCGTGTGTGCACCACCTGTGCATGCATGTACACCACCTGTGCATGCATGTGTGTACACCACCTGTGCATGCGTGTGTGTACACCACCTGTGCATGCGTGTGTGTACACCACCTGTGCACATGTGCATGTACACCACCTGTGCATGCGTGTGTACACCACCTGTGCATGTGTGTTTGTACACCACCTGTGCATGTGTGTACACCACCTGTGCATGTGTGTACACCACCTGTGCATGCATGTGTGTACACCACCTGTGCGCATGTGCATGTACACCACCTGTGCACGCGTGTGTGTACACCACCTGTGCATGATTGTGTGTATGCCACCTGTGCAAGAGTGCATGTACACCACTTGTGCATGCATGTGTGTATGCCACCTGTGCACACGTGCGTGTACGCCACCTGTGCACACGTGCGTGTATGCCACCTGTACACGCTTGCGTGTATGCCACTTGTGGATGCGTGTGTGTGCGCCACCTGTGCACGCGTTCCTGTACACCACCTGTGCACACATGCACATACACCACCTGTGTGAAGCAGAGGTGAAAACACACTCGCAGTGGCAGTGGGAGTCATTCCTCAGATGTGACTCTGAGTTGGTCTTGTTTGTTAGGCTCTACCTGCACTCCCAGCTTTTCAACCATGAACACACCATTTCTGCAAGCAGCAGTGCATCACTACTTGTGAGATGTATGCATCCGAAGACGCAGAGGGAACTCAGGAGGAAAACTCAGGAAGGAGGCCGTCCGGACCACCCAGCGTGTGAGTGGCCTAGGGTTACTAACTGCGGCCCACGAGGCTGCTTCCTCTCCACCACCGGAGCGCTCCACCCCTCCGCCCACCCCCCAGCCTCCATTCCACTGGCCATCATCAAGGACAGCATCAGTGACTTGGTTCACCTGGCCCTAAGGTGCCGGACACAGCGTGTTGTAATGGGAGGAGAGACATGGGGGAGGAGAGCGTGCACACTCACAGCCGTGTGCATTCGTAAATCCTGGGCGCAGACAGACGTCAGAGAATCTGAGCTCTTACCGTGCCCCTGGGTGTAAGGGAAAAGTTGAAAGAATTAAAGCGCCCATGAGTTTCCAGGGCTTGGAGTCTGAGCCTGGCTGACTGCTTTGGAAACTGCAGGGAGGGAGCTCAAACAGCCCTGTGCGCGGGGCTCTGTTGTCCTCTGGTGGTCAGGCTGAGAGATGCACATTTTCTGTTCCTTAGACTCTCCTTTGCCTTCAAGATGGATACACGTGAAACAAAACGAGTACACAGAGCCCCGTGTTAGTGAGAAACTCTGCACAGCACACAACGCTGCTATTTTAGATGAATCTCATATAGCCTTGGCATCTTTGGGGAACTTATTAAAAATGCACCTTCTCTCAAATTTGAATTCTTAGCTCTGAAATTTAGGTTTTAATAAGACCTCCAGGTGAACCTGTCAAGATGAAATCAATGATGCAAACCACAGCACAAGGCAGTCACCCTGTCCTGATAAGAGACACTCCCTCCCCTGAAATCCCCAGGAGAGACAGGGCGCAAACTCGGGGCTCACCAGGCAGTGAGGAGCGGGAGCTGCAGTCCACACCCCGCCGGCCAGACAGAGACGTTGAAGAGCGGAGGGGATCCCACCACGGAGACCAATTCCACCAGATTTCCCAAGGGCCGGGCTGTGCCCAAGTCGGCTTGAGAAACTAGAGACCAATGAATCAACTGGTGACCCAGTTAGGACCCACTAGTGGGTAACTGTCATCTTTTGCTCTAGAGAGAAGGGAAAGAAGGTGGGACTGGGAAGGGGGCTATAAAAGCGAGGAAATCTGAATCCAGGAGTCATTTAAAATAAAATGGTGGGGAAGCCAAAGGAGTGGAAGTTGGAAACGTGAATGCCCCGCGGACAAACCACCACTGGCAGACACCATTACACCCAGCCTCAGCTGGCCTTGGAGGAGCACTTTGTCTGATGGATCGCTGGGCACACGGGCCGAGTGGGACCACTGTGTCCAAGGAAGATGAAAGGAGAGGATTCTGGATGGAGAGAAAGGATGGACAAAGCTGTTCTCTCCAGAGGAAGGTGACTCCACTGCTCCAAGAGCCCCCGCCAGGCCTGCAGCCCTCAGACAGAGCGGAAGTATCGCCTGCCTTCTAGCACTTGCTGGGACACCTCGTTTGAGGAGAGGTGAATCCCGCACGCACGGTGCTAACAGTGATGTCAGCGGGTTCTCTCTACTGTGCGTGTGCCAGACCTGAAATGAACGTTTGGTAGCAAACTGGCTCATCATCACAATAACGCAATGAGACCCGACTTACAGGTGAGGGAAGCAGTGTTTCTCAGCCAGGAAAGTAAGAAGTTAGGTCAAGGGAGCGAGAACAAACCAAGAGATGAATGGGAAAAGAGAAGGACTAGCTGGAGATACAGAATCCAGGACACGCAACGCAACACCCCTGCTTCTAGAACCGAGACGGGCAGGTAGAGATGACCTCCTCCCTCCTTGCTGTAAGGAGCAACAGCCTCCAGCAAGGAGGGACCAGGCAGGCATTAGCAGCCCGGGGAGGAGGGTGGAGGCCCGGGGAGGAGGGTGGAGGCCCGGGGAGGAGGGTGGAGGCTGGGGAGGACGGTGGAGGCCCGGGGAGGACCAGGGAGGCCCGAGGAGGAGGGTGGAGGCCCGGGGAGGAGGGTGGAGGCCGGGGAGGACGGCGGAAGCCACGGTCACCTGTCAGGTTTGTGTCTGTGATGATCACTTCATCCACGCAGAGCACGTCCGTCTCCGAGGCTCCGGGGAAGAGGCCCAGTTGCTGCACCAGCACGGGCACGCTTGCGGAGGGGGTGCGGAGGCCCCTGGAGTGTCGCACACACGTGTCCCACAGGTCGGTGCACGCAAACCGCCATCTACGAGGGCCAGGGTGGGAGGGACGCTGTGTGAGCCCTGCAAACCCTGCCCGGGCTCTGCGGCCCAGGGAGGGACTCCTGGAGCACCGCTGTCACATGCAGCCCTGACGTCAGGGCGAAAGCCCCGCCCGGGCTGGACTCCGCTTCGGCTGTGGCTGAGTCCCGCCGGGAGGCTGTCCCGGGCCGGTGGCTCGTTCACAGCCTCAGCAGCACATGCACACTACGCGCAAGGACACCCGCATTCCACTGCAGTTCATCAGCGGGTTAGACATCAGGCGCTAACAGACTCATTACGGTCAGAGCCACTGGTGAGGTCTGTAATGGATGTGAAGAGCACTGAACCGGGAGTCCTGTGCCTTAAACGGATTCCAGAGTCACAAGCCAAAGGCATGTGGTGACTCTCGCGTTCCCAGGGGCCCCGTGAGCCCCGCCGGCTCTATCAAAGCACGGGCTCTGAGTTCTCCCCGGAATACCACATCCGACTCTAAGAGTCTGGAGTGGGCCACGGTCCCCAAGAAGGCCAGCACCCCGAGCTGGAGGAACCCTACTCACCTGCCCCCCCTCTCCCCCACTCCCCATAGCTACCTCTCAGGACCGGCGGGCGCGGGACTCCAGGCACACGTGATGTTCTCCGGGACACCGGCAGAGCCAGCTGTGAAAGTCACCACCACCCTCAGGCTCGTGTTCGCGCGGCCCTTGTAAGCAAGGCACAGCTGCAAACAGCAAATACGCGCTTCGGCTCTGTGTGTGCAAGCAGCAGCCACCCCAGTGGAAACGACCAAGCTGTTCTCCCGTCTACACCCACCACATGCATGAAAGACCCCAGACCCTGACTCCTGGAGACCAAATAACTGGAACTGCTATTCCTTCCTCAAGAAAGCTGCGGGGGGAGCAGCCCATGCTTTTTCTTTGTTTTCTTTTTTTTGTCGGTGTGGGGCTTGAACTCTGGACCTGGGCGCTCTCCCTCAGCTCTTCAGCTCAAGGCAAGCGTTCTACCACTTGAGCCAAAGCACCACTTCCAGTTTTCTGGTGGTTCACTGGAGATAAGAGTCTCACTGACTTTCCTGCCCAGGCTGGCTTTGAACCACGATCCTCAGATCTCCTGAGTAGTTAGGATGACAGGCGTGAACCACCAGCGCCTGGCTCAGTCCATGCTTTTTCTGAGGACCAAAGGACTGGAAGTCATTCAGCAGGTCTGTTGTTTGGGGTTTGGGTGCTTGGCGATGGGATTTCTGAGCAATCGGGTGTGGTGCGCGCCCGCCTTCTCTGAGCCCCAGCCTCCCCCACCCCGCACCCTTGCTTCCTGACTCCACTGTGTGTGATCGCTCAGCATCAGGAGACTTCAGACACTTGACTTTCAAGAGCTGTGGTGCGCACAGAGGGGTGTCTCCCCACCCCCGCCCGCTGCTTCCCCTCCGCCCCCGTGCCCACAAGCAGCGTCCTGTCTGTGCGTGACGCTCCTCTCCAGAGGCAAAGTCACCCCCATTTTGAGAACCTGAGGTAGAGGTGAGGAGGAAGATGGATTGGGGCCTCAACTCCCTCTGGGCTTCAAAAGGCTGACCATGACCTCTGCCCCCAGAAAGAGCCGTTCTGGGTCTCAGGGGCGAATAAGCCACGCTTCCCTGGGAAGCCAGAGAAGCACCGGCAAGGGGTGGAAGTGGGGCCTGGGAACCGCAGGGGCCAGTCCACCCATAGTGACCATCAGCACCGCGCCCGCAGCCGATCCACCACAATAACCCTCAACACTGCGCCATGATCCACCACACTAACCATCACCACCGCGTCCGCAGCCGATCCACCACAATAACCCTCACCACTGCGCCATGATCCACCACAATAACCATCAGCACCGCGTCCGCAGCCGATCCACCACAATAACCCTCACCACTGCGCCGTGATCCACCCATAGTGACCGTCAGCACCACGCTGGCAGCCGGGCTCCGCCCCGCCTGGCCTCCTCCCCCTCCCCCCCCCCTGGCCTCCGCCCCGCCTGGGCTCCGCCCCGCCTGGCCTCCGCCCCGCCTGGCCTCCGCCCTGCCTGAGCTCCGCTCCGCACGGCTCCCCGCCCCACCTACACCAAATCCTTCCCCATCTTACAGCGAGAGCACCCTGCATGTCAGAGTTCACCACCAGGCAGCCTGCCTGCAGACTCCGGTCTCTTTCTTTACTTCCAGGCCAAAGAAAATACTAGAGGAAGTGAAACTTCTGTCCCCTCCGGCGAGTGCTAATATCTAGACATTTCCGGGGACAGCGTGCACGTGGGGCTGGCCGTGTCTGTGCACACCCGAAACCACCCGCCGGAGACCTAGAACCCCCGCCCTCAGCCGGACGCAGCCGTCCTGAGCTTCCCTCCGTCCCCTCACAACCCAACCCCGTCCTGCGCCCTCGTCCAGGCCCTGGAGCGGCCGGAACTCACGTGGGGAAACTGAGCCAGCCGGTAGCCCTCTCGAGCCACGGGAGGGGTCACCACCAGGTGTCCGGGCTGGCAGAGGCTGAATCTACCGCAGAAAGGTCCGGTGGTGCAGGTGAGGACCCCATCAGAGCTGGAAGCTTCCAGGCCTGGATGCAGCTCAGGGAAAACAGGGAGGCAGGCACGGATGTTAGACAGAAAGAGCCTCGCAGGCCAGGTGCGGGAAACGGGTTGTGAGCTGTCGGTGAGGGAGCGCGGGTGAGGACTGAGCACCCAGCACCCTCTGACTGTGAGGAGTTGGTCTATCCGGTACCCTCTCCTCCAAGTACCACACCCTGAAAACCGGCCAAGAAGCCAGAGACAGGAATGTCTCTGCACCTTCCCGAAACGGGAATTTAGTTGGCCTTACTAATTTGGAAGGGTGGGCAGATGCAGACCTGTACCCGGTGTACAGGCGTGAAGATGGAGATCAGAGGATGGCGGAGTGGGGAGAGATGGGGAGATGGACCAGAGGGGTCACATCTCCAGGGTTCACAAACTGGCATGTCGAGGGAAACTCCTTTTGAAAGCATAGTAATTTAGAAAACATACCCTCACATTGTGTGTGTTTGTGTGTGTGTGTGTGTGTGTGTGTGTGTGTGTGTGTGTGTGTGTGTGTGTGTGTGTGTGTGTGTGTGTTGGTAATGGGGCTTAATTTTATTTATTTATTTTTTGCTCAAGACTGACACTCTATCACTTGAGCCACAGCTCCATCTCCAGGTTTTTGTTTTGTTCTGCTCTGTTCTGTTGCTGGTTAACTGGAGATAAGAGCCTGGAATACTTTTCTTCCAACCATTAGCCTCAGATCTCAGTCTCCTGAATAGCTGGGATTACATGCTAGGGTTACATTACTTCCTTATGTACTAATTCTTTTGAACGAAATAAGATTTCAGAGTAATTGCTGGGGGGGAGGGGGTGCCAGTCCTGGGGCTTGAAGTCAGGGCCTGGGTGCTATCCCTGAGCCTCTTTGTACTCAAGGCTACCACTGGAGCCACAGCACCAACAGTTGCAGCTTTCTCTGAGTATTGATTGGAGATAAGAATCTCATGGACTTTCCTGGCCAGGCTGGCTTTGAACCATGATCCTCAGATCTCAGCCTCCCAAGTAGCTAGGATGACAGGCATGAGCCATGGGTGCCTGGCTGAGTAGTTGCTGTCCATCCTACATGGGGCCCTTCTTCCCCTAGGAGGTGGGAAGCGAGTGGCCAGCCTCCCGCCCTGGAACACAGCGGTGCCCCTGCTTCCCAACGCCCCCCCCCCCCAACGCCTGCCGCAGAGCTCACAGACACCCCGCGGGCCCTCGGAATGCACGCCCAGTCCCGAGGCCACGCGCCTGCTGCAGAGCTCAGGGACACCCCGCGGGCCCTCAGAGTGCACACCCAGTTCTCCTGTGTGTGCTTGACTGTTAGCACCTTGCACAGCAAAGGAAGATTGCTTCCATTTGACAGAAAAAGAAAGAAGAGGAAAGAGCGTCAGCACCTTGCTCAAATCCAAGCCGGAGTAAGATGCCGGCTGACGTGGGCTCCATGCTGCACTTGACTGCCAGTAACGCCTCCAGCGTGGTTTGAATCTATTCCAAAAAGAATCAAAACGCCAAGAGTCACGCCATGGGCAGAAAGACCACCCCCAGCCCCCCGCGATTTCCAGAATGCATCACCTGGTGAGCTGTGGCGTTTGCAGGCAGCGGTGGGCTGGAGATGTTGCCCCAAGTGAGGAAAAAGTTTCCTGGGCCTGATACATTCAGCATCTGAAAACCAAGTGCGCCAGGACTAAGCCCATATTCACAGAGCCTGTCCACCAACCCAGAACCCGCCGCCTGGGCTTGCTGTCGCCAGAACTTCCAATTCCCAAATGAACTATGGTCCAGAAAGTTCTGAGGAGCCCTGCACCCTCTCCTAAAGCAGACCCCCTGTGTGTGGTGGACGTGGCTGCCTCCCTGCTGGACTGCATCCCTTTCCTACAGTAGGAGCGGTGCGACTGTCACTGCACACCGCCCGTCAGCCTCACCACGGCTCTGTCCCGGGAGAGGTGGCAGCACCCACCTGGCCTGCCACACTCCCCACAGGTGACACTTCCTCTGCTCTGCTTCCAGCACGTTCTCTAGAGTTGAGCACTTCACACTTCCACTCTGAACCACATGGCAGAGTGGGAACACTCATTTCTCTCGTTGGTGGTGGTGGTGGTGGTAGGAGTGGTGGTGGTTCAGGGGCTAACACTGGGTACTATGCCCAAGGCTCTACCACTTGAGCCACAGCACCATTTCTGGTTTTCTGGTGGTTCACTGGAGCTAATAGTTTCACAGACTTTCCTGCCTGGGCTGGCTTTGAACCGTGATGCTCAGATCTCAGCCTCCTGACTAGCTATGGCAAGCGTGAGCCACTGGCGCCCAGTTAGCTTCTCATTTCTTCAATCACTTGTTTTCTGCTCTTGTTCTTTGATTATTTATGTCCGCGTTGCTGCTAGACTGGAAGCTTGCAAGGTCTCATTGTATATCAGAAAGTGAACAAAAAAAATAAACTTTCCACAGCCATAAGGGCAAAGCTAAGAGCTCCAAAGAAGAACCAAAAAGAGAAAAACCCCAGTGGTGTGTGTGTGTGTGTGTGTGTGTGTGTGCGTGTGTGCGTGCGCGCGCACGTGTGTGTGCGTGTGCATGTGTGTGCGCACGTGTGTGTGTGTGTGTGTGTGTATTGACTGTATTATGAGGCATTTTCAGACAATAAGTAAGGCAATCTCAATAATAAGACTTCGTTTGTACATTAGTGCTTCGTCTGTGCTTCACTGACAATCCTCTCAGGGGCCCATCTTGGGGGCCCCTCTAACTGGGGAGCAGAGTTTTTCCTCTCACCCACGGTCCTGCTGCTAAGCCACACGCCCTCCCCGCTGAGGGCTGCGCACCTGCACTTCGGGGCGCCTCTGGGCGCGGGCGCGGAGCTGGTGCTTCTCACGGAGGTAGGAGGCCACCTGGCCGGCAGTGAGCCACGTGTTGTGGAGCTGGACGCCAATCCTCACCCCTGCGCTGGGCGCCCTGCCCTGCTGCTCGGCTTCCAGGTAGTACTTGGCTCCACCCCGTAGCTCCATCTTGGGGGTCTTCTGCTGCCACACCCCCGCGTCCCCGTGCTCCCAGGAGTCGAACCAGTCCGCCGTGCCCACGCCGATGAAAGCCACTCTCACCTGCGCCCAGACAACAGAGCGGGGAGGGAAGCTTCCAGAGGGTTCTTCCCACAGAGGGAACATCTGGAAGACCACTAAGGTGAGGGGGTCTGGCGCCTTGCTCACGAGGCTGCGCGTCGCCTTGGCCCTGGGGGTGGGGAGGTAGGCCTCTTCACCCCTCCTCCTTTCTCCCTTTTTCTCAGCCCAATAGTGTTTGATTTAGTTGTTATCATGTTGTTGTTATCATAAAGGTGGCGTGCAGAGGGCTTTCAGGTACCTAGCCAGGCAATGCGCACATTCTTTCTAGACAATGTCTCCCCTTCCCTCACTCTCTCCCAGCTCCCCTAAGTTGTATAGTTCATTTTCAACCTAGTGTCTATGCATTTGCTCACCCTTGGTCCCTCCATTTCTGTACACCCTTGCCCTCCCCAAGACAGATACGTGAGCAAACGGGACGGTAGAAAACAAAATCAACAATGAAAAAGATCTCGTTTCCATTTTCTGGGTAATAGTACCTACGTGAGGCTATTTGGGTGCGTTTGTCGGGCCTCCCCTCTGGGGGAGATTCCTGTGAGAAGCAACTTAGGTGGGAAAAAGATGTACTGTGGCTGGTGGTTTCAGTCAGCCACGGGGCCAGAGGAGGGGAGGAGGAGGGGAGGAGGGATGGGAAGAGGAGGGGAAGAGGGATGGGAGGAGGAGGGGAGGAGGAGGGGAGGAGGGATGGAGGAGGGAGGGGAGGAGGGATGGAGGAGGGAGGGGAGGAGGGATGGAGGAGGGAGGGGAGGAGGGATGGAGGAGGGGAGGAGGAGGGGAGGAGGGAGGAGAGGAGGAGGGAGGGGAGGAGGGAGGGGAGGAGGGAGGAGAGGAGGAGGGAGGGGAGGAGGGAGGGGAGGAGGAGGGAGGGGAGGAGGGAAGGGAGGAGGGAAGGGAGGAGGGAGGAGAGGAGGAGGGAGGGGAGGAGGGAGGGGAGGAGGAGGGAGGGGAGGAGGACCAGAGCAGTTCGCATCACAGGGGAGACGGCCTGTGCAGACGGCCCCTCCTCACCCCTGCTTCTCCCAGCTGCGCCTCCAGACTCTGTGCTGGTGCTGCCTCTATCCAGGACTGACTCTCCCTTCACGAATCCTCCCTTCAACCGAGAAAGGCTCTCAGGACACTTCATGAGTCTCCTAGGCACTTCTTAATTCAATCAAATTGGCAATCAAGATTAACCATGGCAATGGGTGATATTTAAAGAAAAACATCCAGCCTGCTACCCTGGGTCTCCATTATGCTACCAAACAGCACTATTAGGCCTCTGAGATATCTAGCATGGCTTTGTCCCTCAGAAATCTACCAATGGTTCTCTGGCTAAGGAGCAAATCAACTTCAAAGATGTGTGCGTGCTAAACACATTGTGTGGCTTTGAGAAAGATGCCGGTGAACTTGAGCTGCTTTTGTAAAGGCGTCTTTGGAGTTGATGGAAAGATTTGTACATGAGGCTGGCTACACCTCTAATCCAAAATTAGTGGCAAAGCACAAGCGTGGGAGTCAGACAAGTCTGAGCTCCAACCCTGGAAATGCCCACGTAGCCACTGAGTAGCCACGAAATCCTTCTAAGTCCATCTCCCTATCTGGAAAATGGAGACAAATGAATATGTATGCATGTATAGATGTGCATATACCACGGAGATGCAATCAAAATGAGACAGCATATAAAAACAGCATATAAAATGAGACAGCATATAAAAACCTAGCATGATCCCAGGTTTGATGAATAGGTGGCTCATCTGTCATCCTAGCCACTCAGGAGGCTGAGATCTGAAGATCGTGGTTCAAAGCCAGCCCAGGCAGGAATATCCATGAGACTCTTATTCCCAATGAACCACCAAAAAACTGGAAGTGGCACTGTGGTTCATGTGGCAGAGCACTCGCCTTGAGCTGAACAGCTAAGGGACAGCGCCCAGGCACAGAGTTCAAGCCCCAGCAGAAAAGAAAAAAGAAAAAAAGAATAGGCACCATGACATTTAGCCAAGTGGTCCTTCAACAATTCAGGCCCCCATGGCGACACATCACATGCCACCGCCATCTTCAGCGCAGGAGAGCCTTGGCTTTCCTTCCTCCTCGTCTCATGGACGTAGGAATCGTGGTGATCAAGGAAAGGGAAGTGAGGAGAAAGTGCTACCTTATCCTGGGGCTCCTCTGACCAGCTGAGATACAAGGAAGCCTGGCTGCCCGCCTGGATCCAAAACGTGTAGTTATTTGTCTCCGGAGCCACGAAGAACCCGCTGAGCCGGGCCCTGCGGGGAGGAACACAGCGTGGGTCAGAGTGGCCGGGGCCTGATGCGGGAACGTGTGGTCACCATGGCATCCGGCCGTTCTTGACCACCCCGATCCTCAGCGCCACACAGCGGTCTAGACAGCCCGAGGGAAAGCCATGCCACGTGCCCTGTCTGCCCGTGACCCCCAGGCCCCAGCAGTGCTGTCGCCCGGGAACAGCACACCCGTGGGCTGCGGGAGCGTGGGGAGGCTCTGCTGAGCACTGTGCCACATTTCCTGGTGCCCGCCTGTCCTCCATCGACACGGGGGCTGGAGCAGGCTCCAGGGAAGACTCTAGAATCCTCCACATGGGCCAAGTGTCACTTTCACCCCAATCCCATACTTGAAGTGAGTTTTACCCTCTGTCCACCAAAACCCCCGGCCAGCTCAGCTCAAAGTTTCAGATGACATTCATGTCCAAAGAGGGGGTATTACAGAAAACATGAGCCAGCTGCTGGTGGCTCACGCCTATAATCCTAGCTACTCAGGAGGCTGAGATCTGAAGGTCACGGTTCAAAGCCAGCCCAGGGAAGGAAAGTCCGTGAGACTCTTATCTCCAATAAACCACCAGAAAACCAAAAGTGGCGCTGTGGCTCAAGTGGTAGAGAACTAGCCTTGAGCTGAAGAGCTGAGGGACAGCGCCCAGGCCCAGAGTTCAGGACCCACAACCAGCATAAAAAGGAAAAGGAAGAGGAAAAGGAATCGTGAGCTGCACATATTGATCCATAGATGGCTGTGCACCTGTAGCCCGTCCGATGGTCCTTGTGTGGCTTCTGAGGCCCACAGACCAGCTCTGCTCTAGTGGAACTGCTGTGATTAGTTCCTCCTTGGAAATCTCCCTGCCTCAGGTGAACCAATAAGTCTGTCTTTCATAGAAACGCTGTCCTCTCCAACAACATACTTGAAAGATTGTCCTTCCTGTGACCAGAATCCGAGCGGAGCGCTGGCGTTGGGGACAATCTGCCGGCGGTACCCGGGGCTGGCTTCGGTCAGCTCCGAGCCCTCGGAAGCAGCGCCAACCTCAAACAGAAGCCCTCTGTTGCCTGAAAGACACACATCCGTAACCCTCAGACAGACAGCATTCCGTGCCAGACAGGGCTCCCTCATTCCAATTGTGATGGGGGCTGTGTGTGGAGGTGGGCAGCGGAGGACCGGCTGCAGCAACATTGTATGAGCGTCTGCCAACACTACAGATGTTCCGGAAAGCAGAAACTATTCCTTGGGTATAAATTAGCCCTCTTGCAAAAGACCTGATCAGAAGCAGTAAGGGGAGATTCTCCTCAGAGGGCCAGATACTCTCAGAGGACCAGATACCGTCAGAGGACAGATACTCCTTAGAAGTCCAGATACTTCTCAGAATACCAGATACTCTCAGAGATCCAGTTACTCCTTAGAGTTCCAGATTCTTCTCAGACTACCAGATACTCTCAGAGGTCCAATTATTCCTTACAGATACTCTCAGAGGACAGATACTCCTCAGAGGACCAGATACTCTCAGAGGTCCTTTGTCACTGAATGTCTGGATTTGACAATCGAGCCCTAGAGAGGAGGAGGAGAATGCACAAACGAGGAGTGCGGCTGCGTGAGGGACAGGGTGGTGTGAGCTTGTAAAATGGCCAGTCTTCGTGTTTCCAAAATGGAAGTAAACTTCAGTACGTCTTCAGGTCCAGTTCAGCCTTGGCCTCCCATTCCATACAACCCCCTATTCCTAGAAAACTGGCCATCCTTACTTTTCTTCAAGTGTCACGACCTCAATTTGTAAACTTGCACACAGAGCCAGTTCTGTGATGTGCTGTTATCACGGAAGGTGGTAAGTGATGCTGTTTTTATTTATTTAAGCAAACCTTGAAGCCAAAGGCACGCAAGCAATCAATACTGGATAGTAACTGGGGCTGAGGGGAAAAGCTCTGGACTTACACATCTGGGAATTCAGATGCCAGCTCCACCACTAACTATATATGGAGCTTTGAGAAACTATTAATATCCTTGAGATTTCATTCATTCCTACATTAAGATGTGGCCAAGCAAGCCGGGTACCGGTGGCTCACACCTATAATCCTAGCCACTTGGGAGGCTGAGATCTGAGGATTGCAGTTCAAAGCCAGCCCGGGCGTGAGACAGTCCATGAGACTCTTATCTCCAATAAACCACCAGAAAACCGGAAGTGGCTCGAGAGGTAGAGCGCTCGCCTTGAGCTAAAGAGCTGAGGGACAGCACCTAGGCCAAGAGCTCAAGCCCCACAGCCAACAACAAAAAAAAAAGATGGGGCCAAGCATAAATAGAACTTGATATCACACACACACACACACACACACACACACACACACACACACACACACACACACAAATTCACAAACACATGCTCAATATTATTTAAAATTACTACCGTTACTCATCATTAGTTCCTAAAATGGAGAGCTACACCTAGGATACGTGGAAAATTAAGAGCCTATACAAAAAGTTACTTTAACCCAGGGTTTCCCAATCTCAGGGGACTGGCATGTTGCTCAGGTATTGCCCGTGCAGACTGTGCATTGCAGGATAGTTAGCTGCATCTTTGATCTCCGTTCACTGGAGCCAGCTCCCACCACATCTCCGGGGTGTAGTGACCCAAAATTGTTTCTATAGATTACTGAATGTCCCCTAAGAAGCTCGGCTCTGGACAAGAATTCGCCTAACTTCCATAGCAGAAACTTCAAAAGGTCTTCATCAAGGACATCACTAACTAGCTACTGTCCGAAATTATCCCGCCACGACTCCAGGTGCTGAGGCCGGAGACACTCAGGAGGGAGCGGGCTTTCTATTTCCTGACTCAGGAAGCCGCATGCCCTCCGCTGCTCGCTCGCTGGTCTCTTTGTCGGATGGGAGCGTTCCTTATGTCAAAACGGCAGGTCTGGGAGCAGGAGAATTCTCCAGCTGGAGCTTTGCATGCGTTTTCACACCTGAGTGGCCTTTCTTTAGAAAGCTTGGCTCCCCTGAGGGCCTCTCCTTCCGGATCGGCATCTCCGGGTGAGGCTGTGCGTCTAGTCTAGCCATCCCGTCGGCCCGTGGCACACGCAAGCACAGCCCACGGTTCTGGGCCCAGTCCCACGTCAACATCCCTTAATCCATAGCTACCCTTGAACCTCCCGCTCTGATGCTTAGCAGAAAGAAAGAAAAACATGCCTGCAGCCATGAGAGGGAACGTTACTAAGAAGGACAGGTGGAGCCTGCTACACCGCCGCCTCCGTCAGCCCACTGCAGGCATGTGCTGGTGGCAAGGACACACGCGTGCACACACGTGTGCGCATCTGTCTCGAAAAGCAGCAGACAGATGCCCACAGGGGAGAGACGCAGCCTATCAATGCCCCTTGTGTGTCGCCCTGTTTAACGCTGTTGCCGTGAGCACAGAGCACGCCTCGCTGCTCCTGTCTCTCCGACAATGGATGTTCAAGGGGCCGGCTGCATAGGAGGAGGCAGCGTGGGGTGTTGCTGGCAGGGGCAAGGTCGTTGTGGGGGTGTGCGTTGTGGATCGGTGATCTCCCCCGGCCACATTGGGGGGGGCGGGGAGGGTTGGTGGTGTGGCTGAGCAGCTTGTAGAATGAGGAACCCACTCGTAGGAGAGCCTGGACAGTGATACTGTGAATCTAGGGCTCCCTGAGCAACTGACACAGAAACTAAACCTGCCGGCATCTCCCCGTGACGCCCCCATGGTTACAGGTGGACGCTCCTTGGACGGCCCGGTGACCTCCTTACCTGCCTGGGGCGCGGTGAGCCTTGTGCCTTTTCCTGGAGCCCTGGTGGTACACGTGATCTCCCGGGGCGACACACGGCTAATATCGCATGGAATGCCTGCGAGGAGTTCAGAGTTACCGGTGCACATGCAGCACGCCATAGACACACAGCTCACGGCACGGTTGGGATCATCTATTGCTGGGATGGCAGGACCAGAGTGGAGGAGGAGGCCGGGAAGGGGGTGCCGAGCAGCAGAGCGCAGGGCAGCTCACACCAGGCAGGGCAAAGCCGCGGAACGCCACATCCATCACTCGCTGAGGGTGGGCTGGTCACACCCCGAGGTGCGTGCGGTGGTATGAGGGCATACTAGCAGGGCCTGCCCGTGCCCGCCTGCAGCTGCTTCTGGGGGAGGCTCTCAGTGTTCCGAGAAGCCCCAGCCTGGCACAGCTGGAAAGGCCGCGGTGAGGGGAAGGGTGGAACCGAGAGGGCTCAGAGCCAGCCTTGACGCCAAAAGACCTGCAGGGTGTTCCCGGCCGTTTCGACATGGTTACCTGCGACCGTCACCCGGGCGGGAACGTCAAAGAAGACTCCTGTAACTGTGATGTCTGTTCCTCCACCCAGGCTCCCCGTTTCTGGAAACACGGATAGAATTTCTGCAAGACATTGGGGGGCAAAAAAAGTAAGTTTCCAAATATAGCTCAGAATATGACCTAGATAACAATACAGTAATAGAAACCACCCTACTTTATCTCTGGACTTGTCAAGTCTAGTCACAATTGGCATTTTTCTAATAACGGTCATTTTTCATATGCACATGATGAGAAAAAGACTATAAATATATAGATAAGCTATATATATATGTATATATAGATATATATATTACACAGGATCAATACTGGAAAGAAAGAAGGCATGTAGAGTCATTCAGGGCGTGCAAAAGCCCTCACAAAGCACCATGCTTTCTTAGAAAATCCACTTCTTCACCTCCAGGCCTTGAGTTACACGTCCGGGAGCCAGAGGCCATGAAGCGGAATATGATCTGAATATTGTCATAAGACTCATGACAACCTACCAGTCAACAACAGATCATACCTGGAAACAATGGTCAGCCTATGACGCTTGCCAAACACCCCTGCCACTAGGCATTCTTGTTGCTGTACAGACTAGCATGAAGCATCACTCACAGGGTGATGTTGAGTTAACTCAACCTATTGTGCGTACACTTACACACATACAATACTGAAGAATAATAGTAATAAATGACTGCACTGAGTTAGGTGTGCACCGTACTAGACTTGCCCTTATGACTTTATATTTATGACTTTATACTTTACTGTTATACCAGAAGTAATTTCCCACACCTGCCATTCACCTTGTCTCTTGATTTCATTACAAGGCCGCATAGGGCTGCTGACCCACACCATCTAGAGCTACCTAAGTGCGGGCCATGTGTTGGCACAAGGATGCTATTAGGCCTCTCAGAGCGTTGATCTGTGATACATGGCTTATAAGAACTAAAGCAGACACTGATACAAGCAGTTGGATTTTAACTAAAATCAAAGAGCCGTCGTACTACAAGGGACATTTTCCGACGTTAATGCTCAGAGCAATTTCCAGATATAGAGTCTGTTGGCACGTGAGGCGTGAGAGAAGGAAACCAAGAACGGGAGGTGTGGGGCCGGCATACCCGGGTGAGTCTGGAACAGAAAAAGGTCCTGCTTAGCGCTGACAAGCCACGCGCCCTTGTCGACCATCGACCTTCAAAACAAGACGGCACCGCAGTTTATAGCATGAAACATCTGCAATCGCGTTCTTTTAAGTTGACTGCCTGAGAGCAAGAAGCTAAAATGAATCATTAATACCAGATGAGCGATACACTTGGAAGGAAAACATAGCAAATCGTTTCAGAGTGGCAGAACACAAGTAAGACACACAGAAATGCAGGACCCTCATTAATCTATTTCTCCAAAGCCTGATGAAGGTGGAGGCTGGCACTGACACTTCCCATTATTCAGGTTAAATTAAGTGTGGGAGATGAGATGTGCCTTCTCCCAGTTACTTACTTTCCTCTGTTGAACACGGAGAAACTGACGTTCTGGGACCCTGGAAGCAAAGGCACACATGAAGGGTGGGATGGGTGGGGATCTCCCAGGCCGGGACACAAGGCGCCCCGCGTCAGGTCACTAAGGATCATAGGTCATAGGTCATAGGATCGCGCCGTCAGCAAGAGGGACTGCCAACAGCAAATGGACAAATGACTGTGAACTACAGGTCTGACCCCAGGCTCAGACTTAAACTGTGTGAGATACAAATGCTGGTCCAGTGCCTAACAGCTTAACTTTTCATACCCAAAAAGTGTGGGGGGGGGGAATTCCACTAACATCCTCGGCTGACTGTGCGGATTCATTTATATGCAAGCTGGTTCCTATTAGCCTCATGAACATTGATTCCTGAAACTGTCCTTCCTGCATAGAAAGTAAAGCAAGGAGAAGACTCTAACACTACCATACTACTCTGACAAACCTATGTAATTGCCGTCCACACGACACTGCAGTGTGCCAATGCCACCAGCCTCTCGAACAGGGTAGCTGTGGAAGAAGAAGAAACACAAGCTGAGGTATGAATTACAACATCTCAGTTCAGAACTTCCCACTCCTCTAAACAACAAAGTAACAAAGAAAAAGAAAAGGCACAGCCCAGAACTGGTGGCTCACACCTATAATCCTAGCTATTCAGGAGGCTGAGATTTGAGGATCGCAGTTCAAAACCAGCCCGGGCAGAAAAGTATCTGTGAGATTTTTATCTCCAATTAACCACTCAAAAACCAGAAGTGAAGCTGTGGCTCAAAGTGGTAGAGCACTAGCCTTGTACAAAAGAGCTCAGGGACAGCACCCAAGTCCTGAGTTCAAGCTCCACAACCAACCCCCAAAAAAAGCAAAAGAAAAGGTAAGTTTGCCAAAGAGAATGAATTGGTGTTGAAGGTAGAATAGGCTAACTGGGGAAATGGCTTGGGTTAATTACTAACTACAGCTAACAACACAAGGTAAAAGACAAAATTTAACTTACTCCTAACTTCCATCTGGTCCTTTACTTCTGCAATCTAATATTAGACAACTTTAAGAAAATCATCAACAAAATGACAAACAAAAAAAAAATAGTAATAATCCTGGGCAAACATATTGAAGATACCAGAAGGAAACTACATTATTAGAATATGGCTCAACTAAACACAAGTTGCACACGGTTAAGCCTCAAAAGATAATTATTATAGTGACCTCAAAGGGAAATCAATCCACTCAGTCCAGAATGGGGTAAAACAACAGCAAAATGTTGGTTATAGGAACTAGACTAAGCAGAGATTTTTATATATATATAATATTGGTTGTTGTTTACTTTGGCATTGTACAACAGCAGTGAGAGGCATGAACTCCAAAGATTGCTGAGTCAAACAGAGTTCCAACGCCAGCTTGGCTGCTTGCTCTCCATGAAGCCTTCAGCAGGTCGCATTACCTCTCCGTACCTAGTTTCTCATCTATAAAGAGAGACTAATGAACACACATTGTCACAAGATTAGCCAGTGACTTCACTAAGTATTAGGGAAGCCTGGGCCTAGAGTGAGCCCTTAATAACTCTTAGTTATTTGTTTCAAGAAGACTTTAGATTCTACTTCAGTTTACATTTTGAATCAATGCTTGCGTTTTTCTCCTTAAATCTAAAAGTAGAGACGTGAATAGTTACGAGTGACCTGTAAAGATAAGTTTATAGGTGTGCATATGTATCATATTCTTAGGAAAGAATCCAAAAGGATGAACACTGGTAACTAAAGAAACACTCACCTGCTTCCATTCTGTCTGTTTATAAGAGAACAAGGAGTCTCCCATTTGTCTCCTTGGGCTTCCAAGACCAATGGGCTGAGAGAAAAGAAAAAGGATAGAAGACAGGATACAATAGTGCAATGCTTCCAGTAAATATGACTGCCAAAACTCAGCAGAAGCATGGCTAATAGAACTCTCTCAACTTATGGGGCACAGGGTACAGTTACAGGGGCTGAAGGAAGCCGAGTCAAATTCTCTTCAGAAAGTAGGGATGGACGCGTGGTCTGAGCTTCTGTACTGTAGAGGGAGAACTGGTTCTTGCTATCATTCACACTAGCCACGGTAGGTCTACTAGCGCTGTTGTGGAGTGTGCATCTTTCTTCCTCCTTTTAAGTGCTGGATCCCAGGCCCAGGTCAGAATGGGTCCAGGTAACAAATATGGCCTTTTGTCTAAGATGTACTTGGGATTTAGAGGAATCCCTGGAAAGACAAGTGCCAAGGAGAAGCAGATGAGACACAAGGTCTCCAACTTATGCAGAGTGAGGGGAAATTAGACATGGGGTATCCACTCCAAGTCTCTAGGGAGACCATGGTTCTTCCACTTTCTACGATCTCACCATAATTGCTTTATTTGTTGAATGAGGACAGTTAGTGTTTCACACAAACTGTACAATCTCAACCCTTCCTGTTTTGTTGGCCTTTTTTTTCCCTTCTCCCTAGCATGGATAGCTTACTAGTAGTATTTTCCACTTAACAGGTCTTAAGTGAAGAAAATCATGTTGGCAGCTTAATTTCCCACACAAACACTATAAACTCAATGGCCTTTATATAATATATATATTTCCCTGTTTGCATATGTTTCCCTGACCTCACTAACAGGATATCTAAATACACAAATGGATAACAACCAAATAAAGAAGCTACAATAGTCTTTTGTGTTTACATGCCATTTTATAAGGACTTTAGGCTCTAGTGGCTCACACCTATAATCCTAGCTACTCAGGAGGCTGAGATCTGAAGATCAAAGTTTGATGCAGGAAAGTCTGTGAGTTTCTTGTCTCCAATTAGCCATTACAAAGCTAGAAGTGGAAGATTGGCTCAGTGGTAGAATCTGAGCAATAAAAAGCTTCGGGAGGAGAGGGGAGTGTAGTTGGGGAGGTGGGAGGGAAGGATGGTAGGGGAGAAACAAAGGAGGGGGTACAATGCTGCATAGAAAATGTACTCATGACTTTGCTCATGTAACTGTAACTCCTCTGTACAGTATTTTTACAATAAAAATGTATTTTAAAAAAGCTTGGGGACAGCTCCCAGGCCTCAAGACTGGCACACCAAAGACAGAGAGAAAAAGAGAGACAGAGAGAGAGAGAGAATTTACTTTAGCATGGAAGGGATGAAAGGAAGGGTAGAAATCAAACTAGAATATCCACAGATGCAATAACTGTACAGTTTACACTTAGCCCAGAGTGACTAGTTGTTAGTAAATAAATGGACCAATTTAATCAACAATTCACAATTACATTAACAGAGTAAATCATGAGGGCCAAAACCACAAGGAGGGAAAAAAAAGGCAATTCTGTATAAATTGCTTGCAATTTATTGCTATCAAGAAGCCATCCCATGTCCATCCATGTAAGTGATTGAGCGCTCAAGCAAACACCTGCCTACCTGTCAATGTACTCCACACCGGGGTCAAAGGTTTCCAGCCTTCCAGTGATGATCCAGCCATACACCTGTATTAGCCGCCCTGTGTTAAGAAGATTTCTTTAACGGGCTTAGCCCAGATATATAAGATAAACGGGTTGCATATATCCAATATGGAGAACTTCATCATGATGTATACAACTAATACTTCTTAACTACACTGCATGGCGCAATCCAGTTATCAATACTACACAAGAGAAAGGCCAAAATTGCTGAGTATTTCCAACACAGGCTTGATCATCCATGCGCGGAGCACAGAAGGAATGATAGATGTACTTCAAAACCCCATGAAATGGAGCAGTTTCGGGAAGGAGGGCTGTTTCTCTTGGCTCTGCCTTAGGCCGTCTACCCAAAGTGAGGGGGAAGAACAAGGTGCGTGACGCGTTCCATCTTTGTGAGAGTTTCTTCTGCACACTTGCTAAATTAACCAGCGCTGCCACCGACCCTGCTCCTATGTACAATCTACAACAAAGGGGGTGTCACCGACACTGAAAGTAATAGCAGGGATGGGGAGCTGGCCAAGGACCGTGGGGCGGGAGGGACAAGGAAAGGTGCTGGGTGGGAGCTGAGCGAAGGTGGGGTTAGAACAAGCAGTGATGGCGTTGTGTTGCCCAAGTAAGCCCCTGACCCAAAATGGGAGGGGGGCCAGCCGGAGATCTGAAAACAAGGGCGTCCGCCTAATCTGCTGGGGTGGATGCGGACTTCCACCCAGGCGCCTGCCTCTTCTCGCGGTGATTTGTCCTTGATCTGCCCCTCTTTCCAGTCCACCTTACACCAGCAACAACCTCTCAGCAAGGTGCGCTGGATCTCCCCTCCCCGGAGGGGGAAAGGAAGCTAAAGTAGCTCCTATGCAAAGCAGGAGCCTGCCAGAGTACTTGTGAAAACACCTGAACTCAGACCTGCGCACGTCAAAATATTACACGTCTCACTATCACAAGGTGAGTTAGTTAACATGCACCACACAATGCTCAGTTATTTGATGCACGAGTCTTCAACACAATCACAGACTTGAATACTGTCTACTATAAACTTCTAGTGTCACAGAGAAATGAGAAGAGAAAGCTGTTAGTGGCTGAAGTAAACATAAATAACAGGAAGATCACAAGGTACCTGACTATGGGTGTTTTGAGATCACGAAAGCCAGACAGATCTGAGTTGCTTCACTGACACTTCCGGCCACTGAAGAACCCTGTGGAGATGTTCTGCCCACGCGAGTCTGTGTGTTTGGGGAGGGGATATCGTGTCGGGCAGTCACAGGGCAGCCCGCACTGGCGTGGCGGGAGCCCGGCCAGTGGTTCTGTGCTCGTTTCAGGAGTAGATGGGTAGAAGGAGTGGGAAGCCAAAGCCTTACATAGAGCTCCAGTCTGGGGTCTCAGGTAGAAGGAGTGGGAAGCCAAAGCCTTACATAGAGCTCCAGTCTGGGGTCTCAGGTAGAAGGAGTGGGAAGCCAAAGCCTTACATAGAGCTCCAGTCTGGGGTCTCAGGTTCGCTCTGCTCCTTCTAGAACTTGGGTGAATTGAATCGCTCGCTCCCTTGGATTTTGAGCAAACCACACTACTGACTTCCCAGCTTTGGTGAACACAACATCTGGTTCTGCTGGGTGCCATGTGAAAAACACAAGGTTCTAGAGATGAGGAAATGTGTTGGTTTGTTTCCAAACCAAGAAGCCCACAGAGGAGATGGGAGAGTAATCTAGGCCTTGGTGCCAGGGGACACGGTAGCTCAGTGAAGAGCTGCTGACCACATACCAAAATCCACCTGCTCCTACCACGTTCTCTCTCCTTTCTCCATGTCTCTCTCCTTCTCTTCCCCCCTCCTATTTCCCCCCTCATCTCTCTGGGCTGCTATTCTCCGCCCACTTCCCAAAGGAAGTGAGAGCCATGGGCTACAAAATCATGGAAGGATGGAACCTTGTGTGTGGATCCCCCTGGAGGGGCCAGACGCTGATCCTCCAAAGAAGGCAGGAGAGACGGGGCACAGAACCCCAGCTCAATGGCAGAAACAGCTGTGACCGATCAGAGTGCCAACTGAGGCCCCATTTCACACCTCTAACCTCTTCTGTTCTCCTGGTCTTTATAGAGCTGAGATTTCTGTCTAAATATAAATACATTCTCTAGATAAAGATCAGGCTTAGTGGCTTTCTATGGGATATCCAAGGCAACTTGACATGGTTTTTCAGAGGAAGGTGGGATACAAGAAGTGGAGAGAGGAAGGCGGAGTAAGCACAGTCAATACATTCAATGTATGCCTGGTGCCTTATAACCTGAGGGACACATGAAGTGGGGGAAGGGGTAGAAGGCGTAACATTGATCAAGATACATTATACCCATAAATCGAATTGAAACTCCTTGGTACAACTACTTAAAGATAATTTTAAAAATAAAATATACAGGTCTCTAGACATTTGCACAGTGAGACCACAGGAGGATATTCTTAGGAGAGGATCATAAAGGCTCAATAGCTGTGTGCATATGAACATATAAACTAATGTTTATTCAAATGAACTCCAAGAAATGGAAACAGGTGGGTTTTTCTTTGTTGCTGTTTTTCTTTTTTTTGTTTTTTTGTTTGTTTTTTGCTTTCTGGACCTTTTCTCTTGTTTGTAACTGTATCTCTTTGGGGGAGGGGAAGGGGAAGAACAGAAACGGTGGGACCAAAGTTGAACAATGCAGCAATGATACTCACTAGACACTATGTTGAAAATGAACTATACAATTTGTGGGAGAGGGGATGAGAGGGGAAAACTGAGAGAAATCAAGGAAAGGGGTGACATTGTCCAAAAAGAGAGTTACTCGATACCTCACTTATGTAACTCTAACCCCTCTGTATACCACTTTACAATAATAACAAATATATGTATATATATATATATATACAAAAAAATAAAATCTTAAACTACAAAAATAAATAGATAAATAACATGCAAGGGATAAGGTTTTGTGAGAAATGAATGAGAAAGTATACACGGAGTTTAGAATGGAAATTGGCACACCTAGACATTCAGTAAATATTTGTTCTTGTGGATGGACTGTGGTGAGTGACTCACAAAGTAAAAAGAAAACTGACCATGATTTCTATTTCCTGCATTCTCCAGCATCAGATGGTTTGTTTTTGCTGGCCTCTTCTTATCATGTTTGCTTTCTTATATTAACAGCAAAGCAATAGAACAAAAGTGCCCAGAGGTGAAACCAAACCGGGTTAAAAAATAAACCAGAGGTTAAAAATTATTTTGAAAATCACATCTGAGAAGAAGCTAAACTTTCTCACTCTTAGAAACCACCCATTTAAGTAAAGGAGTTTGCCACAAACTTTAGCAATTATTCCTGCTTTTTCTAGAAGATTTCTTACCTGGAACTCCACTTGGTGGACTCACTTGGTAAACAAGGGGTGTCTGTGCCTTGGAAAACTGTTTAGAAAATATATGCACAAGTATTTCATTAGAACATCCACAAACACAACCAGGATAGCCATTCCCCTTAAAGCATTAGCCTTAGGACAGAAAATATGGAACGATCCCTTTGTATAACATGCACGCCTGCTTCCTTCCTGTCCTCCCCATGGTCCTGTGCAGCAGGTAGGATGGTATTTCTTCTGTAGATGAGGTAAAGGGAGTATGACCAAGGCCACAGCTCTTCACCCTGCTCCAGGTCTTTCGGGCCTTGGTGAGCCTCTTTCTACCTGCCTACCTGCCTCTCTCAAAGAACAAGGCTGGATCAGAAGGGAAAGCAGACAAAGGATTTTTTTTTGCCTTTCTAGAATTCATTCATTTAATTGGAAGGGTTATGACATAAATTATCAGCAGCCAGCATCTTGGTAGGGATCGGGAAACCGTGACAATGGATGTACACAGGAATGAGAGCCTGGTGCAGAAATGCCTCCCTGCCTGTCAGGTCGCTCAGAGCAACTTCGGGCCCTTCCTCTGGGAGTGCACACCAGGGGCCCTAGAAGGAAGGTCACCCCAGGTCCCACACTGCCACATTCCTCTACACCCCCGGAAACACAGGAGACTTTTGAATTTTTGTGAATGAATGGAGTCGCCGCATCAGGGATGAGTGATACACTTCCGGAAGGAAAACGGGATGAATGAGACAAGTCCTCTCAGCTAGAGGCATCTGGGTTAATCTAAGATCAGTGCAAGGTCCCAGTGGGAAATTGTACTCAGAAGAGAATGAAGAAACAGAAGCACTGACAGCCGGTGGACCTGGAGACCATAGCTCACCCAGGAAGAGATCGTCACCTCTACCGTTCCCTGCTTTCCGTTCTGACCATCCACAAGCGCTTCCTGTGTACACAGTAAACCATAGCAAACTGCTCCACTTGGTCTAAATTCGCCCCCTAGGAGTCTTCGCTGCCCACAGAGAATCTCAGCAGGGAACAACATTGTGTTCATCAGCATCCCTAGTCAGATGAGGAAAACCAACAGACCTTTCAATAAAGCCGAAGGCTGCCTGCCTGCCAAACGTGGGGTGCTAAATATTGATCCGCAGGGTTGTTTTCCTCATTCACTTCAAGTAAAGAGTTAGAAAATGGTTCACAGAAAATACTTACAGTCATGGAGTCAACAAAAGAATGCCATGATTTCACAGATTAAGGCCTGGCTCTGACCTCACCCAAAGATAAAAGATCGATTTAGTTCCATACCTAGCTGCCAAACATTCCATCCTAAGCCAAGGCACCCGGCCAAGGAGATAAGGCCTAATACTTTGGTTGGAGCCTAGTAAAATATGATCAGTGCTTATTACCCAGCCAGGCACAAATTAGAAACTGAGGCCAAATTCAAACCAAATAGAAAAACAACCTTTCCTCTGTGATTCTGACTGGAAATGTTAAGACCTTGAACTCTGTGATCCTCTTACCAGATATTGGGGGGGGGGGGGGGGGGCTCGGTATAGAGTGTTTAGCTCCCTCCCAACTCCTCAGGGAACTGAAGGAACACAGAGCCACTGGAAGGATCACACTTGGATTTTGAACCAACACAACACAAAATGGGAGATTTCTAAGAGGAGCAGGCCTCTGTTCGCCTACCAGGCTGAAGACATAACAGTAAAAAAAAAAAAAAAAAAAAAAAAACCATAATGAGTTTCCAAGTCAGGCTTCCTGAATGCTGATCCTGGAGCCTCAGTAAGGGCTGAAACCGGCTAGACATGCAGGTGTGAGGTCGGTGAGAGGGAGGGGAAAGAGTCAGAAACAGTGGATCCAAACAAGAGAGACACCACCAGCAGCTGCTTGGTAAACCTTCTGTGAGCTGCTCAAACCTGTCAGTACCCACAGCAGGCTCCTTGGAAGGGACTGGTGAGATGGAATGAATTTTTCATGCACGGTTCCCCCAGTCCCAAAACAAAGAGACATGGTATATTTTATTTAGCTTAAAATGTCGCTCATTAGCTGCATCCCCTGGTGATAGCTCATCAATTGGCCAAGCTACTTGAGCTACCGACAAACTCGTTTTCTTTCCTATGCGATTTGGGGAAGCATTTCTTTCCTTCCTACTTCCTTTGTTGATCTTTTAATAAGTAGGGACGCTACTAACAGAAAGGGAATGTAAGTGGTTAAAATGATTATTCAGCATACTCCATTTCTTATCTTCCCTGAGACTTAATTAAGAAGAGTAGATATTGAACTCATACTCTTGGCAGGAAACAGGGGCTACAAAGAAGTATGAGACACCTACCTTGTACTACAAGCTCCTCTAAGCAATGCACAGTAGACAGAGTCGTGGCCTCACAAAGATACACGCACCCGAATGCTCACACTTGTCCTTATTTACCACCACTGAGACTAAGATACTGGGGCTTCCGGTGGGAAGATGGCCTCTCTCTTGTCCTAACCATCACATATGTCTTTACGAGTAGAGAAACGTTCCTGCTTGTGGGAAAAGGCTCCTGGAAATACTCATAGGATGTGCAAGGGTGTTAGCAGCTGTTACTGGTTTTGGAAATGGACGAAAGATACAGAATGAGTGGCCTGGGCCACGGTTCCAGGATTGAGAAAGGTTTGGACCTGGGTATTATCCACCAGAGATGCTCCCCGGCGGGCACTGGCTCCAGCAGGCAGGAGTTTGAACCATAATAAGAAATATGTGGGCTGGGAAGGTGGCTCAGTGGTAGAGTACTTGCCTTGCATGCCTGAGGCCCTGGGTTTGATTCCTCAGCAAGACATAAGCAAAAAGAAAAAAGCTGGAAGTGGCGCTGTGGCTCAAGTGGTAGAGCGCTAGCCTTGAGTTGAAGAGCTGAGGGACAGCACCCAGGCCCAGAGTTCAGGCCCCATGACCAGACCCCCCCCCAAAAAAAAGGAAAGAAAGAAAGAAAGAAAGGAAATAAAGAAAGAAAAGAAATATGTGAGTTATCCACATGGTGGAAAAGACAATGAAACACCCTAGACACCCAAACCCACACACACCTCTGAAAATCAGGCCAGAATCTTGACTTTATTGCACACACACACTGAGATAGACTTGCTTTACCCAACTACAAGATTATAAATTCTAGATGTTTACATCTGTCAGGTCTGTGTAATTTGTTACATCAACAAATGAAAACATTTATATGATGTGACTAACATAAAACTAATATACAATTTTTAAAAAGATGACCATTTACAAAAGGCAAAGAAAGAAAAGTGCAAAACTCTGGCTTCCTGCTGCTGCACGTGTATAAAAGTGAAATGGCAGAAAACAAGATTTTCTCAGGCTGGAACAACAAATTCAAAACCTCCTGTAGAAAGTGTGAGCTTCCTTCGCGGTGACTTGGGAGGGTGAAGTCTTGTTCTAAGGATGTATCCATGAGCGATTAACCTCTGCGCTTCAGAACTGCTCTTAAACAGAGACACCTTGCCAACAACAGAAGCAGTGCTAACTGTGCCTTTTATGGAAAATTGGGGGCTGCCCTCTCAGACTGACATCTAGTGGGAAACAAATCTGGAATGGACCTGAGACTGAAACAGACATAAGATAAACCCAAGTAGATGTGCAATACAGTCAAGCACTGGCCATACAAATGACCCTCCCGCCTGTCTTTCTGGGTCTGCCCCTCTCTCTCTCTCTCTCTCTCTCTCTCTCTCTCTCTCTCTCTCTCTCTCTCTCTCTCTCTCTCTCTCTCTCATTGTCTCTGTTTCTGTCTCTCCTCCCTTTCTTTCCTTATCTGAGCTTAAGGAGAATTCAACCCTGTGGCTCTTCTTTGCACTACTTTGGTGATAACCAAACTCTCCCTAACGAGGCAAACAAACACACAAACACACTCCCTAACAGGCAAACACACATTCCTCCATCTTTACCACCCACCTTGAAGGTGCAGTTGTCATGTGACCCTGGTCCGGGGCCTCCTACCACCTGTCCCCCAGAGCGCACTTCCACGGCGTATGTGCCTGCATGTCCCTCAGACAGCAGAGCCCTAAGGGCAGAAAGCAGACATTCTTATGGCGGAAACCAGGAACTCCTGAAGCAAGGGATCACCGACCCCTCAGATTCCTCCCTACACTGTCTAAAGATTTAACTGAGCAGCTCTAAATTTCATCTATTTAGAATAACTACAGTGTAGAGAATAGGTTCCTCAGCAAAAGAAATCACAAAGAAAGAGATAGATAGATAGATAGATAGATAGATAGATAGATAGATAGATAGATAGATAATAGGTAAATACATGCATACATACATAGCTGACCTCCCGTGGATGAGCTACCAAAAGAGATTGTTACATTGTTACTTCTTTCAAAGAAAGGAAAGATTACATTGACTTGGGTATCAGGAAAACACAGTATGGTTACAGGAGGGTTGGTGGATTTTGATTGGCAAAAACAGGAAGGGAAGAGTCTTTTGGAATAAGGAATAGAAAACAAAAGGGTATGACAATGTTTCTATCACTTAATCCATGGTCCATTTTCTATGAAGTATCTCTTAAGACATGCATAAAGGAAGAATGAACTGCTGTAAATGTCACAGGCCAATAAAAATTTTAGTAGGACAATAGATGACCTGGAATAATATACAGGTATTTCCTCAACAGAAGTAATGCCAAACTAAGCAAATAAACTGAGCATAAAGCCAAAATCCTTCCTTACTGGTTGTGAGTTTATGCAGTCATTAAAACCATACCTTTGCTAAATGATGACTGCTTTAGATTGCAAAATGACAGTGTATATTGCAACCTTACCAGCTACCGAGGTCCTTGCAAATACCAAATGGAGATACGATCTAGCCCTCCCCATAAATGTCTCAAAATTCTTCCGCATGCTCTGATCTTCCCTGAAGTCTCACATCGCTGATGAGAAACTTTGAAGAACTGTGTTCATATTGAACACCTCGAGAACTAGAGCTGATCACTGCAGTCACGATAGAGCTGCTATAATACGTCACCGAGATAAGCCACATCGGTCCATCCTTCCAGAGACAGTACCTGGTCTGGCAAATCACCACCGGCAAATCCCAGAAGACAGGGGAGACATCACAGGGGACCCTTGGCAGTGTGGGCCATGCCACGTTCACCAGGTGAATCTCAGGCTGAGAGGCATTGGCAGGGTGGAGGACACCTGGCTCCTCACCTACGCGGAAGGTAAGGAGGAGTCGTTAAGGAGAGCCATCGCGCACAGGGGTCGCGTACCAAGATGGCCGCGGGGAAGTGGTGTCAAACACTCAGTTTGCCAAAGGAGAATAAATGAAGACTCATTTCCAGAGGAACTTCTGGCTGAGGGACGTTCAGAGTTGTGAGCTGACCAACGGGTCTTCCCTTTGGGTCTGTCTCTATCTGGGAAAGTATATTTCAGCTTTGCAGGTCACCCTGCCAGGGTGGTAGAAATGGGTGTGCTGAAGCTCCCAGCTGCAGATTCACACTAGCCGTGGTGAAGTGGGCGTGGCACATTGCCCAGCATCACGGTGTGCACTTTCGTGTGGACTCCCTGAGGGTTCCTAAAGTCCCGGGGGGCTCCACCCCTGCGTCTCCTTCAGGTCCTCCTTCACACCCGTCCTGAGACAAAGCCGGGCTGAGTCCCTGCGGCTGACTTCCTCACACAAGAAAAATCTCCATTCTGTAAAAGCCACACCTACCATCCAAAACGACGGTGACCCACGTGCCGCCCGCAAGGCTGCCTTCTCTGGGTTCGATGTGCAAACTCGGGTGAGGGACTGAGAAGAAATGGGGGGAAATATGGGCTTGAAGGTCATACTTTAAAGCAAACTTCAGCATGCATCCGAATCACAGCATGGAGGCGCTGGCCGCTGCTGCCGGGCCGCGGGACCCTCTGTCCGGCCCTCTGTGGTCAGACAAACCCATCTCTCCTTTCAGACATACAGACTCTCAGGGCTCACCAACCCTGAAATTCTACTCGCTCTGGAACTAGCCTTGCGGATACTAATTAAATCTACATAGCAGCTCCTTTTGTTCCCCCCAGATTTAATTCAGACGGCCATACTTACACATAAAGATCACTCCTGATTTCTTGCATTTCTCCTCCTTAAGGAGTACAGAAACTTCTAGACACTGTACCTAATTCAGTTCTCCTACTCAGGGCCCTGTGCTCTAGTTTTCACATTTGCACACGTGTGCAGAAAGATTTCCAAAATGGATATAAGATTCCATGGACTTTGGCCTGGGCTATTTGGAGATATTCATCAGAAAAAAAAATTAAATGGAAAATTCAAACCCAGAAGCAGATACTTCAATATGTCCTTTGAATATTATGTTTTTCATTTATATTTTTCAGTTGGCAAGTAAAACTTGTATATGTCTATGGAGTATAGCCAAAATACTATTTTAATTATTAACAATAGTTCTCAAGGTATCCTGAGTGCTAGCCTATTGTCCATTCAAGCCCCTTCTACTCACCAGCCAAAAATAGTACTTCAAAACTCAGAGAAATCAGCCAGCCAGTCATCCTTCCCAGGTAAGCCAGCTCTCTTAAGATTGTTCAGGCATTAAAAGCATTTTCAGTGTTAATTGGAGCAGCATAGCATTTGTGCTGAAAGAAACTAAAAGAATGAAGAAAAGGATGCCTATATTGTCTTAGCTCAACCATTACCACTTTCCTGTGTTGGAACAAGAAATTAGGAGATGAGATTACAAAAAAAAAAAGTCCTAGTGTCTTCAAAAGGACCCACGATCTTTCCCAGCCGGGGAGAAAGGAATCATCCGGGACTATTATACAAAATCATCAGCAAGCCTTGCAAGTCTCATCAGCTTCTTTTATGTCTGGTGATCAAGAATACTATCTTTCATTAACTCATTCTTGGACAGAAGCGCACTATTCAAAATAAACGCTAGGTGTCTGCCTACTAGTTAATAGGTAGAGGTCTGTATTGCTTCCCCCTCCCATCCCCATCCTGACCCCATCCCATCTCCCCAGCTTGCCCATGGGCCACAATCCAGCCGGACCCCTGTACTGCATCCACACTGCAGTCACGACCTAACCCACGCACAGGCCAACCTCTGTCCTGGCTCCGACTGGCCCCTCCTGGACCCCATCTCTCCACGGCCTTTTGAATCCCTGGCTTGCCTTCCAGGCCTAGCACAGGGAGCCCTTGCTCCACAGAATCCTGCCCAGCCATTCCAGTGCCCTTTGCTTTCCCCTCGCCAAGCTAGCTCCAGTCCTGTGTGTCCAACCCAATGTTCCCACCACCCAGGCCTCACCTCCCAGACAAGACCGCCTCCTGCTTTTCCCTTTTTCTTTTTCCTGTACTGAAATGAAGATTGGATACAGCCTTCTATAACCTGAGCCACACCCTCCAGCCCCACCCACCCTAGCCCTGACACCTTCCGTGAAGAACGCTGGGACCCAGCCCTCATGCCTCCAAGTCTCTTCATGTGGAGATGTCACACAATGCTGAGGGACTTTCTCATCTGTAGGGACTCACAGAATCCACACAGTCCGGCTGAAGTCTTTCTCTAAAACACTTAGCATCCATATATGTCCTGACTGAGAAAACCCAAAACAGAAAATCACTTCTAATTAGCTTAACCCTATGACAATGTATTTGCTGCCAAGCACTGTGACAGGAAAACAGCTATTCTCAGTCATCACCAAAGGCAGAAGCACGGGAGCTCCTTGCAGAGATGAAAAGAGGTCTAAACTTTCTAAATGGATTCAGCAAGTATTAACTGCAAAAATCCCTCCATTTTTAGATCTATTTGGAGTCTAATACTATTTATACACGTTCCATCTTGAGAAAGACTGCTGTCCAGGGAACGGTGATAATAGAGTAGACTTCGCATAGAGGAGCCTGTTTTCAGCTTGGCTGTGTGATGTTAACATCTCGCTTTGGTGCCTACTCCCAAGTCGGAACAACAGGCACCAACATTCATGTAGTAGGCTTTTAAAATAAAATTCCTTACATTTGGAAATGCCTCTTTCTTTCCCCTCAAACACAGAGCAAGGAAATGAGCACCGAATGCATCTTTTCTTAGTGTGGATTAACCGGCCACCAGCTCTCCCTAACTGTCCTCAGTTGCCCTTTACTCTTTTAAGGAGAAAGTTTTTAATCACAGAGCGTAATTAAGTCCTCTTTCTCCTCTTGTCCTACTTTTCCCATCTTCTGCTCCCCCTCCTCTTCCTTTCTTCCTCACTCCTGACTCGGCTCCCCTCCTCTGGGAGCTGGAAAACTTCAAGGATCTTACTAGAGACAGCCTATTTCTTTTCTGTTTGCCACAGCATTCAAAAGAGACTCAATACATTGAAAATCAAGACTTTTGGAAATCCAACAGTACCTTTTTCTGGCTCAGTCTCCTTGAGACTCAAGGGAGAATTTCTCTTCCTCTTCTAAATGATCTTGTGTCTGTCTGCCATGTTCTCTGGCTAGAGAGCCCAGCCCACTGCTCCATGCAGGTAACTCTCTCTGGCTGACTGTAACTCACCTGACTTGTTTGTGTCCTGTACCACATGTTCAGAACTGACCATGAGGTCTGTTTAATGAGTAACACGAGCTATTCAGACTTTTTCTTTGGGGGCTTTTATTAATGACCAAAGGAAAGGTATCTTCCATTTTTCCTCACTCACTGCTTATGCCTCGGACAAGAATTTTATATAAAAGGTTACCTAATAAGACCAATGAGCATTCAATGAGTAGAAGAATTTGTTAGTAAGAAGTGCCTGCGTCCAGGGGGAAAGCCTAGAGACTAATGCCCATACACGAGACGCCTCTGAGTCTTCAAGAACTCATCTCTGCTGGGTTGTAGGATGTCGGGATGCTATTAATATACTCACCATAATAATATAGGCCTAAAGAGGCAGAGGTAGGAAATTCCATGTTCAAGGACCTTCAAGGAAAGACTAATGTGTCCTTTTCCATCCTCCCCCTCCTCCATCCTCCCCCTCCTCCATCCTCCCCCTCCTCCATCCTCCCCCTCCTCCATCCTCCCCCTCCTCCCTCTTCCTCCCCTCCACCCTCCCTCCCCTCCACCCTCCCTCCCCTCCACCCTCCTGGTCCCCATCCTCCCTCTCCTCCAACTTCCTTCTCCTCCCTTTTCTCTCCTCCCTCCTCCCCCTCCCCCTTCTTCCCCCTCCCCCTTCTTCCCCCTCCTCCATCCTCCCCCTCCTCCACCCTCCCCCTCCTCCACCCTCCCCTCCACCCTCCCCCTCCTCCACCCTCCCCCTCCTCCACCCTCCCCCCCTCCACCCTCCCCCCCTCCACCCTCCCCCCCCTCCACCCTCCCCCCCTCCACCCTCCCCCCCTCCACCCTCCCCCCCCTCCACCCTCCCCCCCCTCCACCCTCCCCCCCTCCACCCTCCCCCTCCTCCACCCTCCCCCTCCTCCACCCTCCCCCTCCTCCACCCTCCCCCTCCTCCACCCTCCCCCTCCTCCATCCTCCCCCTCCTCCACCCTCCCCCTCCTCCACCCTCCCTCCCCTCCACCCTCCCCCTCCTCCATCCTCCTTCCCCTCCACCCTCCCTCCCCTCCACCCTCCCGCCCCTCCATCCTCCTCCCCTCCACCCTCCCTCCCCTCCACCCTCCTTCCTCTCCATCCTCCCTCTCCTCCAACTTCCTTCTCCTCCCTTTTCTCTCCTCCCTCCTCCCCCTCCCCCTTCTTCTCCCTCCTCCTTCTTCCCCCTCCTCCATCCTCCCCCTCCTCCATCCTCCCTCCCCTCCACCCTCCCCCTCCTCCATCTTCCCCCTCCTCCACCCTCCCCCTCCTCCATCCTCCCCCTCCTCCATCCTCCCTCCCCTCCACCCTCCCCCTCCTCCATCTTCCCCCTCCTCCACCCTCCCCCTCCTCCATCCTCCCCCTCCTCCATCCTCCCTCCCCTCCACCCTCCCCCTCCTCCATCCTCCCCCTCCTCCATCCTCCCTCCCCTCCACCCTCCCCCTCCTCCACCCTCCCCCTCCTCCACCCTCCCCCTCCTCCATCCTCCCCCCCTCCATCCTCCCTCTCCCTTATCCTCCCTCCCTCTTCCCCACCTTCCCTCCTTTCTTTGAGTTCTTAACCAGGAGAAATCCTTGACTATTATCTTTAACAAAAGTAGTCCAATTGCCTTCATAAATCTGGAAATAAGGAAATATGTCTTCAGTGTAGATGATGACAAGCACCAAGTTAGAGCCCCAGCATAAGTCAAATTAAATAGATGGGATGGAAGATTAGAAAGAGTCCAGAAAGATACAAAAGATGCTGGAGTCTGAGCCTTGTAGAATCATCCCTGGCGTTTACAAGGTATTTAAAGAGCAAACAAGAAAATAGCCCAGATGAGGAGGCACACTCCACAGATTACTCTAAGTTAAAGCCAGCAGAACAAAAGAAAAAGCGGAGGGGTTCATGCCAGGAGCACGGCCTGATGCAGCGCAAGAACCAATGTTCCCAGTCTCACTGATCAAGTTTTTAGCCGGAAGTACATGCTTTCTTCATATTCACCTAAAATGCCTACCGTCCCCTGCACCAAAACAATATGTCTCATGCATTAGTCTAGCCACAGGCACGTAGGCTCTCACATGGACACCCCTCCACGGAGCCAAAGACCACCAGGAGAAGGACACAAACGCTGGCAGGTGCCAAGGGCAGGTTATCCAGGTCCATGTGGTACTGGGTCTTAGCACAGAAATAGTGTTTTTTCCTAGAGGCCAGGGTTCTCTCATGACACAAAGAGCTAACTAAGTCAGGTTGTGTAGATTGGTGGAGGGGGAAATGTGCGTAGAAGTTTGGGGCTAATTGCTCCGAAGGCTCCAGCAGTCGGAGGAGAGGAGGAGAGCATTCGGAAGGGATGTCCAGGATGCAACCCGAGAGCCTGACCGGCGGCATCACGTCGCGGAAGACGCCTTGTGGTACCTGGGGCTCCTCGTGGGGGTTGTAGGTATTGGAGGTAATGTGGATGTGGTGACCGATCGTGGAGGGTGGACGCTGGAGGTCCAGCGCAGGTCTCCTTTACCAAGCTGCCGTTGGTGCGGCTCTGGTTACAGCATCACACTTCTCTGGACAATGTATCCTCAGCCATGGGAGCCAGAGTGCCCGGAAGATTACACTCTGCCCCCACATCCGCTCACGCCCACTGGCTGACCGCGGTAGAGTGTGAGAGGCCAGCTCCCTGCCCGGAGAGAGACACCTCGCGGCCATGCACTCCGGGGAGCACCCGAGAGCAAGCCCAGCTCAGATGTCAGCTAAACCACAGTGCGGCTTAGCTTCCTTTCCTGGTGAGTCTTTTTACAAATTATCTCCTGAGGCCCTTGCCCAAGAATGCCTGTCACAGAGAAGATGGCAGGGAAGATGTCAGGCGAAGGTGATGATTTCAGCTTGAGAAAGGCTGATTTAAAATGGGGGTTGGGGGGAGGAACCAAATTGACAGGCGACATCTTGCACATCTTACAATCTTGGACAATCTATTCGGCCATGAATGGGTCCCGGGCAGGCGAGGCCTGGCACCACTGCCAAGTGACAGCAAAGCAACGGAAGGCCTAAGCTAGTCACCCCCATGGGACAATGCCCTCCGCTCAGCCTGTCGAGCATTGCTTCTATTCAGTCCTAGTCCAATGTACCATGTCTAGTAAAGGAGACACTGGGAGGGGCGCAGGCCTAGCTCTCTACAACTGTACTTCCCCATTCGGGAAGTAGAAATCCTTCACTCTCCAACTCCAGGGTGCAGCTGTTCGGGTGGCATGCAAGAACCTAACATGGTAAGAGTTAAGACAAGGAGACAAGAATAAACCGTGTGAGTGGAATCATGGCCGGTGCGGCTCCCAGGAGTCGCCCAGCAGACAGGCTGCTCCAGACCATCTGAACCCCCCCTCCCCCTCCCCCTCCCCGCCCCATACCCCTCCCTCCCCCTCCCCCTGTGCTCCTGGACTCAGGTCCGACGGCACTTTTCTTTTTTTCTTCCTTCTTGCTTAAGGGAAGCAAGAAAGAGCCGGCCACTTGTGACAGAGCCTTGTGTATTCTCTCCGGGGGTTTCTTCATGGATGTTTTACACCAGATGCAGGTCCGGGGATGGGGTGGAGGGAAGAGGAGGGATGGAACCATGCTTGCTTTCATCTGACGATGATCTCATAAATGATCCCTGCCTGCATCTTGCTGTTTGATGGCCCTGAGCATGCCTTATTTATAGACACCAACTGATACGGACCTTCAAAGGGGTCGCATAAGCTAGGCTGGGTGCGGCAGGGAACACGCTGAAGGGCCAAATTCTCAAACTAGGCACGGAAAGGACAGCACACAAGCGCTCGGAGCTGGACCCCACGCCAAGAACGCCCACCCATCCCCCAGGGTAGAGCGCTTCACGTCAGTCCCGCAAGCACAGCTGCTAGCCAAGGCGGGGACACGGTCACCAAAGGTGATGAGTTTCAGAAAAGAAACTCCTAAAGCTGCACGCTAGAACCCGTGGAAAAAGCACAAAGCCAGCGTACAGGTCTGAATAAGGAAGTCCCTCACCCAAGGCATCCCCTCGCTACACCTCCGACCTCTGAAGGGACTTTGCTGATTCAACTTCATGAAGGACCTTGAGAAGGGGAGACCACCCTGAATGATTCAGGGTCCTCCTGAGGGGCAGGAGGAAGATCAGGGTCGTATAGGAAACGCCATGGTGGAAGCAGAGTTTATGGGACACATGAAGGCAGACATCAGCCAAGGCATGCAGGTATCCCTAGAGGCCGGGGGCAAGGGAACACATTCTCCCTCTCAGAAGTTTCCAGAAAGGGGTTGGGAAGGTGGCTCAGTGGTAGAGTGCTTGCCTAGCATGTATGAAGCTGTGGCCTTGATTCCTCAGTACCACCTACACAGAAAAAGCTGGAAGTGGTGCTGTGGCTCAAGTGGTAGAGTGCTCGCCTTGAGCAAAAGAAGCTCAGGGTCAGCGCCCAGGCTCTGAGTTCAAGCCCCAGGACTGGCAAAAAAAAAAAAAAAATGTTTCCAGATGAGCCAGCTCTGAGAGCAGCTTCATTTCAGACTTCCATCCCCCAGAGCTGTATGAGACTACGTCCATGTTTGACATTGGAGTAGCTATCCACCAAGCCACGTCTCACTTCACTTAAATCATGCCTTCATTATTTCACCTCCTATCCTCTTCAAATGGACCAGAGATACTCAAGAAATAGGTTCTAAATTGAAGTTCAAATGAAATGTATCCCCCCAAAACTCAAAGAAAACTTTACTTTCCACTTGGGAAGTCCAGAAGTATGAGTTTGTACAGGAGGCTGAGATCTGGAGATCATGATTTGAAGCCTGCCCAGGCAGGAAGGCCCAATTATCCAGCAAAAGCTACAAGTGGAGGTTTGGTTCAAGTGAGAGAATGCCAGCCATGATCAAAACAAAACTAAACTAAACCAAAGGACAGTGCCCAGGCCTTGAGTTCAAACCCCAGCACTGGGGGATGGGACGGGGGCGGGGGGGGGGGTATCCTTAAATTGGG